CGCAAATAATGACACTTCGGTGTCATCAGTTTTACCCGTATTTATATGAACTTAGAATCATTTATTGTGAGAAGAAAAAAATGATTTATTTTATGCATTGTCAATGTTCAAATTCAAAATCATGCAATTTTATTTTTAAAAACCTACTAATATCATCTTCAATTACAAGCTACGGTTAAAAAAAAAAAAAAAAAAAAAAAAAAACCGCATTGTTGCGGTATAATATATAAACGGAAAGTATCTTATGTCAAACGCTGATATGATCTTATTGTTCAATATTACGCCTTACTTGAAATGATTTTTCAAATCTTTGAATTTCGTGCGATTGTTGAGTCTTATTAAACAACTTTCAGAGCCGTAGAATTGCAACAACCATTAACATTAATACATTTGTAACATGTTACTAATGTCTCTGGGATAGCAAAATAATATATATATATATATATATATATATATATATATATATATATATATATATATATATATATATATATATATATATATATATATATATATATATATATATATATATATATATATGTTTTAAATCGCTTCTTCAGTAATGAAATATTAACTAAAAGTCAATTTCCGTAGTATATTAAGTTACATGTATGATGAAATAATAGTAAATATATATGAATATGTATATCTCCGAAAAATAAATGGAATGGCAGTAGTTCCATAGAAAATTTTAACAAAAGAATAGACTAACAAAATATTTCTGTCCATTTCTTTTTTTCCGAATAAACATCAAAGCAAATACTTTGAAATAGGTACTACTTACATAAAACAAAAAACAAAATCCATAGAAGGTTTTTTGGAGCCATCGTATTCGAAGAAAATGGAACTTTTAAATAATGAACACTTATTCCAAAAGACAACTATTAACCATTAGAGACTCAATTGACCACTCTGTCGAACATCAAATTGACCACTCCGGCGAACATCTTAGAACACGTATAAAACCCTACTCCGACAAAATTAACACGCATTGCTAAGATCTCCTAGGAATACCAAACATTGTCTTCTTACGCGAAATGACGGTCTGATTTTACAAGTGTTTATTACTCAAGACTTTTTTTTAATAATGAAAAATGGTTTTTGTTAATTCTTCCTTGAGTTCATGGTATGCTATATATTATAGGTATAGATACTGTATTCCTTATTCAAAATCTTAGCGTTTCTCTCTGAATGAAACGAAAAATAAAAACACTTAAGATCACCCTTTTTTTAAATAAATTTTTTCAAACATTTTTAAGATAAAATCAAGAAGAAAGATATATTAATCTTTGTCGACTTAACATAAATAAGTTTAACTACACAGTTTAATAATATTTTCCATTTCTCAGATATGTCCTATAATGTGATTTTAAAAAGTCGAGATATAAAAAGGGGACGGGAAAAAAGTGAGAATTTTGAAAATATACCTTTTCAAGATATTTGCAATTCAAATAAGTTTAATTTTAGAACACACTAAAAGGGTTCATAAATGAATTCAGAGAGAGAGAGAGAGAGAGAGAGAGAGAGAGAGAGAGAGAGTCTTTCAGAGCAGTTCTTCTTAGAATGTGAGAAATACTTTTATCCATATTTTTAAGAAGTTACAAAACAAATTTAAAAAAAATGCATCGTTTTATATTATTTATTAAAGTATAATTATTTAAATAGAATTTTATACACCAATTGTAATTAACAATCAAATAAACTAAAAAAAAAAAAATGAGCTGACACTAATTATAAAACTGACAAAAAAGGTGCTTTATATGATTCAACAAAGAACAAATAAAATCCTAGTATACGCAATCATGTTTCAATTATGTACCATAATTATCAATTAACAACAGGCTGATTTTCAGTCAATGAAACATAAAATAAAGTTCTAGATGTTAACAAGGAGACAAAGGAGAGTTTTACAATGAGGGAAAACGTACACCTCTGCATTTGAAGATTCATTCATCTTAGACCCAGGACCTAAAATTTAAAATATAAAATGCTTTCCTTGATTGATAGTAAGGGAATTAACAGCTGCAGCTGTTGCAGAAGACAAATACACACGCGGGTTATGTAATTTTTTTTTATAATGTCTATATAAATAATCATTTTGATATAAAACAGGTTTAAGTAAGTTATATTATGTATTATTGATATGTAAGTCATAAAAAAAAGGAGATAGTACTCAGTGGATGTAAATATACACGTACTGTATTTAAATGAATCATGAAAAACAAAAAATCAGCACATCTAGTGACTCTAGTCTACTCACACGTGTATACATTTTTTTTTCTACCTTCAACCAATATACTTGCCAACTTCACTTTAATAACCATTTACATTCCTCTTAAGTCTTGTTAACAAGGACGAATATGTTTAATTATGACTTTATATGCAAAGGTAATCAAAGATTACGAAGCTCACCTCGACGAATATTATGTAAAAGTAAGGTAAATCTCACATCATTTTTCCTTCTAGCTATTGTGCATCTTGAGATCAATATCCATGCTAGTTTGGTTTAAGTAGCAATTTGATTACTTGGGAATGGACCTGCTACAAAAACTTTAACCTGGTCACTCATATGAAAAATGTAGGTCAAATCCAGCATTCGAAGCAAGTCTGGTAGTGTTCATCCCTAGATACTTCATCCATGCTATTTTGGTTATAGTAGGACTAATATTCACTAAATGGAAAATATAGGTCAGATACAGCATCTGAAGTAGGTTGGATAGTGTTCATTCCTAAATGCATCATCCATGCATGCTTTCTATTTACTCGTCCAAAAAATGTAGGTCAGATCAAGCAACCAAACCGGAAGCCAGTACTGAAGCTTGGAGTATAGTAAATGCTCATCTCAACTTTGTCAAGGTGAGATCAAAATACTTCTAATACTACTAAGTTATGCTTATTTAACATCCTACAATTATCGAAAAAATGTATACACGATAGGTTTATCAAGAACTTTGATATAAATGATTTTACAGTTTATACAAAAATAAAATGGGGGAAAACGTTATTTCTCAAACGTTTTACAAATCCTTATATTCTTAATGAAAAGAAAAATCACATAAAAAGCAATAAACATTTGTGAATAGCTTTCCCTATAGGAAATATTATGTTTTAAAGTGTAAACAAGAAGTCAAAGGGAACAACTGTTGAAAAATTTAACTCATCTAAGTTTACCTGATTACAGCAATTGAAGCACATAGGTTTGGTATACATTAGGTTAAAACCATAATTCATCACATAGGTTTGATAGATTTTAGGTAAAACCAAAATTCATAATGCCCAAGAAGTTACAATGAAAATTCAAATCAAAACAGAGTAAACAATTTATACAGTTAAATAAAGCAACAAAAATTTAAAAAGAGGCCTGTTAACACATTTCTTTCTCATTTTTCTTCCTATTTTAAATGATACCTTTCTGTTATTTTAATAATAGTAAGAAACAAGTAAATGCATATCAGAAATAAATAAATACTAATTCAGCTTTCTCTCTCAGATGTGGAGAGATCAATGTATGATGTTTAATACTAATTCATGTTACAATGAATAAAATATACAGTAAAAACAAGCCAAATATATATCAGATCCAATCGTAAACCTATTACAAAAAATAGTTCCCATTTCATGTTAATCAAAAAAGAGAGAAAAAAAGGATCAAACTAAAGGATTTTTAACTACATTGTACATGTTGGTAGTCTTCAATAAAACATTATGCATAGATAACAACATACTATTATCATAGTTATTTCTTAAAGGAAAATTTCAAAGGTAGAAAAGAGTATTATTATACAATTACATAATGCGTAATCAGGCAATAGATTGGAATATATTTCCTGAGGTGCTGGGAACAGCTCACTGTATTCTATTGCTCAAAACCAATGGATGAGGGTAACAGATTACAAGGAGCTCTTTCCAGTATTGAGGGAAATATCTGATGATATGTTGTATGATTAGGCATTTAATAACTGTTTCATTACCTAATACTATAGTTTCATAGTCAAAAAATGAAAAGATAATAACAAGAAGAGATGAGATAGTAAAATAAAATCCTGGTCACATTGCTATTGAAAATGGGATGACATCATCAGTCTATAGATTCAATTGCATGCCAGGCACAGTGATTCATTTTGAAAATGGTTATCATGGGTCCAAAGGACCCCTCTTAATGACAACAATGAGTCCCGTGCCAAAATCAATGCGTCCAAATCCAAGGGTACCGTATATTAGATGATACAGAGGAAATTCTGGTGAAATAAAAAAGGGTATTGCACGAAAGTGCAAATGTTTTATTGAAGCTGTGAATGCTTTATACTTTTACTATCAATTGTCCAAGTAAGAGTACATGATTTTGTGTCATAAAAATAATATATTGTCCACTGTGCACTTTGGTTCTATTTTTAGATCGTATATACGATCCCACACATTGTATCAGTCATAAAATGCACAAAAGCAGAATGAAGTAAAAAAAAGTTTAAGAAGAAATGACAAATAGTCAGAAATTAAAATGATTAAATTTTATACTTCTTAGCTTGTAAGGAAAAAACGAAAAGAAAAAAAAAACAATGATACATGCAGGTTACAGCTTAAATACAAAGGTATAACATTCGCTTCAGAAACGTTCCACAGTATAGACATAATCAGTGATAATCGAACTATGCTATCTAACTTTCAAATATTTTCTGATAATTGCTTTTAACTGCAGTTGTGAAATCTGACCTGTTGTTGGCAACCTTATACCTTTTAAAATCGTTCATGCATATCGCTTAGCACGTGGATATGATACAATCGGTCAAGTTTTGAATCAGATTATACCGAAACAATTTAAAATAGTACATGTCCTTCTGTAAATTTATTGCGTCCATTGGGATGCACATTTATTGAAATAATGCGTCCTGAGTAAAATTTGTGCGTAATTTACGCAGGACGCACATCAAAATGAATCACTGCAGGCAAAAGACATGCCAGTCATCAGATAAAAATGCCAAAACAAGTGAAACAGAATATATAGTCAAAACTATAGAGTGTATTACAAAAAAGCATATTCTGAAGTATCAAGTAATAAAATAATGAGAATCTATAGTATAGGATTATCTGATATATAAAAAAAAGTACAATTTGAACAAAGTCAATATACTAACAACTACAACAGTTTGACTTGCCTGAAGCATGACACATTAAAATAAAATAAACCTGGCAAAAATTACATTCGACAACAGCAGGTGTTACCACAGTGTTAAATTTGTATAGAACACAGAGCTTAGCATTATGGGATAGGCACTGTCATGAATTCAAAATTTATTAGGAGATAATTTTGAACATGCTCTGTACAATTTCAGAAATTTAAATGAGTCTGAAGGATTTGCAATATCATATGGAGAGTAATAAAAACTGAACAAATAACCTACTCAGGGGTCAGAAAGTTGTTATTTTGAGTGTTTTCAGCCAAATACACAAAAAATTTGATGAATTCAAAAAGTTTATGAAATTTTCCTTATAAGAGAAACTAAATATTAAAGTACATTTATAAGTAGAATGATAACACTTATTTATATCACTTGTCCTTTAAACGATGTAACAAGAGGCCCATGGACCACAATGCTCACCTGAGTCATTTGGCCCTGCTGTTGTCGTCAGCAGATTTTATAAGAAAAATTTCTCCTTTTAATTTCATTAAAATGTAGACTTCATAATGTGGATAAAAATCTAGCCCTAATGGAGCTATGATTTAATCAAAGTTGAAGCCAAACAACATTTAGATAATTTTTTTTCCTGCACATTTTCCTGTACATGCATTGTGTAAAATTTGAATCTCTGACTTTAGCTCATATGTTGAAAAGTTATTCCACAGCTCTTGAATTCTCTTCACCCAAGAATACTTTGTGGCAAGTTTGGTTGAAGTTGGCTCAGTAGTTGTCAAGAAGTACTAGTAGAAAAATTGTGAAAAGTTTTTGACAATGACAATGGTTACAAAAACCACTATGACAATGATGACAGATAAATTTTTGTCAGAAAAGCTCATTTTGGCTCAAATGAGCTAAAAAAAAGAAACTAATTGGAGATCAATATTCTAGACATTAAGACATGAAAATGAGATAAATTAATAAAAGCATACAAGTCACCATCCCCCCTTCCCAGAAAAAAAAGCAATCTTGAAATAAGAATAAAAGCTAGGGGAAATGGATGGATGGTAGTTTAGATGCTGAACACAAAAATGTACATTGTACATACTGGCATAATAATTCCTCGATTTACTTTGTGTTAATAATTATAGTTTTAGAGTGAAAAGTTGTGTAGATGTATATATGGCACTAAACTGTAACATTATCTTTGATGTTGTACAACAGTTTTAATTAATTAATCAAATCAAAATTCTTTTTGGCTCTTGGGTTTAAAAGTAATTTTTTTTCTTTCTATTACCCTTTTCTTTTTTCTTATCTTAAAACAACTATCAATTTAAAGTATATAGCAACATGATATTTTCTTCTCAGCAGAATAAATGAAGCACTTAAAGAGAATTCCTGTTTGTTGACAAATGTTGGACACACATACATTTCTACACAAATTCTGTACAAAAAATATAAATATACTATTTAAGAATATGTTAATACATATATTTATATATATCTGTTTAATAGATTTACCATATTTTATCAAAACTCATCTTTTCTAAATTTTCTTCTGTCCATCCATTCCTGATCTTCTTCTTTCCTTCTAGCCTTCACATTCTGCCTCATCCTCCGGCTCTGAATTTTGGACAAAATTTCATATGCTCTCTGTATCTCCATGAACTTTTCTTGAGCCTCAGCTTTTTTACTCGGGTCTCTCTGTTTGTCTGGATGCCATTCCCTCACTAGTATTTTGTACCTAGCTTTGATTTCTTTTTCTGTGGCTGTGTCAGATAGATTTAACACCTAGAAATAATATTAAAAAACACAATATGCTTGTATAAAACATAATGAAATGGATCTTAATAAAGGGGGATAAGGAAAAACTTGACTGAAACATGAAAAACATTTTCCTATAATTCATTTGACTGGCCCTTTAATTTTTACTCCTACTATCAATGTCAGACATTTATGTTCTAGTGAGATTAACAATGTAAACATGTCTTGATAATTTAAAAACAAAATTATTGGTGTTATTTAAAGCATGGACCTGAAATAAAACATTACATAGCTATAATCTTACTTTGTAAGCATTTGTTTCTCCAGTAGGGTCTAATTTCTCTACAAATTCTTCCCAAAGCTTCTCAAATCCATGAATCTGATAAAACTTGTACAGCTCTTTGAGTGACTCTTTCATTTCTGCCCAGGCTGGAGAATTAAAAAAGTTAGGGATAGCCTCTCTCAGGGGCACTTCCTCCCCATCCTTTGTTGTAATAGAAGCAGTTTGGTAAATGACAACTCCCCATAAGGTGGAATAAAGCAGACAACAGAAACACAAACTGATAAAACGTTTACAGAATGGACGATTATTTCCCACTTCTGTGTTCCATTGTTTTCCCTTCCAATTCACAAATATTGCAGAGAGAACGGCAGAGTATATAAAATTGGCTGTGTCATATAATATCCAAGGTACTCCACACAGGGCCCCAATTAGAGGCCACTGAAAGGATGCTTTTACTGGCTGAACATTTGCAACCACATGGACACCTGCAGAAAAAAATGCATTGAAAAGCTATAGTAAGCATCAAAGATATTTTTATTTTAGTAATGACTGACAGATTATAATTGTAACAGGTAGGGAGAACAGACAGGAATTTTCATTGGGCTCCCTGCAAGAGTTCTCGACAAGTGTTCAAACGACTGAGCTATCTGTCCACTGGCAAAAATCCAGCCTGCAACTGCCACATTGCTCCTTCCTTAAATATCTTCAGTACATTAATATGGAGAAAATGCAGCAGATTTGAAGATAGATTCAAGGAACTTGTGACCCAGTGCTCTACAACTGAATTATATGGCCACCAGCAAACAAAGCTATCCAAGTATAATCACCACATATGAAGGTAATAGAGAGATTAAGATTTCATACGTGTACGTGTACGTCTAGTAGGGAAATTCCCTAAATTTATTGCATATTACGTCATCTGTTTTGGTGTTGATATGTTTTCTATACATTCCTACAACTTGTAAAAAGGTATCTACACGTAGGTGTAAACTTGTAGCCTTTTCAATAAAAACTAGTCAATTTATGTGTGAAACTGTTATTGTTGTTCATTATTTAGGATGTTAAGTTCCACAAACACTTATTTTAACCATGTTTTGTTCACTAACTGAAGTCAAACTAATGTCACAAAACTACTAAATAGTTGAAACAGAGACACCGATTGCAGTCTACACATTCATGTTACATGTCATTAAAATCTCAACAGACAAATTACAAAAAACGTGTATGTCAAAGTTTGTGCACACGTACACGTACAAGTTAAAAATCTCAACCTCTCTATTATGTACCCAAACAGGCTATTTTATCCCTTTTGGGCAAATGGTCCCACTTGTAAGTGTTTTTGGGCAAATGGTCTATGAGTGAATTGTCAATGAGAACAAAATGTACCACAACCAAATAAACCTGGCATACATGTCCATCCTTGGCATTTTTTTCCCCCCACTCACATTCAGTACATGTCTGATACAGCTCTGGTCCTTCATTCTCCCTACCTATTACATTTACATATACATTTGCATGCAAAGAAATTAGTTATGAAAAACTATATATAACTATAATATTATATGATATTATACTGTAAATAATGTGGAATACATTGCAATAGGGCTGCACAATAATATCGATATTCCGGTATATTGCTATTCGTTAGGAAAAAAATATTGTATTGCAATACATTTTTCAGTATCTATATCGAAATACTTGGGTTTGAAATTTCTAGAGTAAAGTGTAAAATGTAAAATTTAATATGTCAGAATTTTTTTTTCAATCGTGCCAAACAGTAAGGTTATTGTTGTATGGATGAATTTTGTGTGAAATCAACAAGAACTTTCTTGTGAAAACGTAATTATAATAGTTACATGCATTCTGCTTATAAATGGAGGTTTAAAAAATTAGAAAAAAGCATCTTAAATGTTATTGACTGATACGTATACATATCACAATACAGATAAAAATATTGTAATATATTGCAATACGAAATTTTCAACCGATACCCAGCCCTACATTGCAATCTGTATTACTTTTAAAAGAAAAAGAATAATAAAATGTACCTAAAGCAATCGCACAAGGAGGTACAATTATACAAAATATTAAGCCTAGTCCTTCATAAGCATTTTCTTCTGGAACACACAATCGTGTCAGGATTCCAAAAGTCCACCCGAGAATAATCTCTCCTGCAAATCGCACAATATTAAACTTGGGATACGGATAATATTGTCTTTTTTGTTCAAACTCATTCAAATATCCATTGTCTCTGTTAGCTGCAAATATGTACTCCGGAATGCGCCACAAGTCTCTGAACCACCCGAGCCCAAAACACCCGCCAAATGTGGCCCACCAGATGAATGCTTGCCTGTCCCTCCCGAGATAAAAGTGATGTAAACCCCACCACCCACCGACTAACCAGAAAATATATGCAATCATTATATGTGCCATATTTCCGATCTCAAGCCACAGAAGCGTCGTAGTCTCTAAAGCTGTCGTGTACAATGTACTTTTAGTTTCGCTTTCTCCATTCCGGGATTCCCCATCAAGCATATGCGATCATGAACACGCCTGAGGATTTACGAATGTCAATGACTAAAAATATCTTTTCACTACGTGTCATTAAACAATGAATAATGATCCCGATTTTTTTTTATTGTAAACTTGGAAAAATAAATAAAATAAATAAATACACGCCTCCATGTAGTAGAATAAACATAATATATATATAAAAAATTTAATGGTTTGATTGCTGTGTGTTGTATACGTTAGATTAAGAATCATTCATGAATGCATTTCGACTTCAATAGAGATTTTTGTTTTTGTTTATCGTATCGAGGGACATTACAAGATGGCTACCGCGCACATGTAAAATGTAAACATGGACAGAAAACCCGGACATTTGACCAAAAATGCTCAAGATGCTGTGAATTCTTTGATGTGGATTAAGGTGAGATAATTCTTCTTATATGAAACCTGTATACCTACGCTTCTTTGGGTTTCAGGATGGTGTATTTTGTGTATTATGTGTTTTTCTAGGTGTGTCTGAATACACTCGTTAAAATAAAAATAAAAAAATCGCTGAAATTAGCACGTTTTAAAAATATCATATTTTTATATACAGTTATATGATATTTTTAAAACTTGCTAATTTCAGCGATTTTTTATTTTTATTTTAATGAGTGTATTCAGACACACAGGTCTGGAAAAACACGTAATACACAAAATACACCATCCTGAAACCAAGCGCCTATGATTCAGCACTGATGTACAGCTCTATACAACCCAAGTATCATTATGGATACCCCACCATTTCTATGCCAAATCTTAACACATGTATTACTCAAATATACTGAGATCACCAGGGGTTAGAATTAATGTGATGTCCAACAATACTTGCTTCTTATAATATCAACCCCTATTTATTAAGAGATATGTTGTTTATGTGCAATATAACTATGTTCACTATGTTTACTATAAAAAGCACAAGCATAAATATATTTCTCATATACATGTTTGAATATTTCAAGACATGTTGAACATGTGTTGAGTATATTGACAATATTTATTATTCCAAATCGGGGCCCTTTTGAGCATATTACATACGTGATTATTAAACAGAACATATAAATATAATAATTATTCACAAAATGTGATAATAGTAATATTCAGCATTTTCTTGACACATATACTTAGTCAATTTATGTCAATATATGTCAATCTCATGTCTGTACAATGTACCAGAAATATTTGGTAAATTTATTACATTGCATGATTCATGATCTAAATATCAGTTATTTTCTTGATTAACTTGTTGCAGGTTGTTGGGATTGGCAATGGATGTGTTGGGAAAACCTGTCTAATCAAACACTTTTGTGAAAGCAAAGTATGAAATTAATATATTTGTGCTGTAATTGTATTTTGAATTTTAATCATGATCTTTAGTATCTATACAATCATAAATCCTATTGCTTAGGTTTAGCCCTCTCCCAACCGACTGCCTAAAAATGGCCCGACTCAAAGCTTTTTTAAACTCCAAGAAACAATTATTTTTTTTATGCATGTCAGATAATATATTTCTAAAATTCAGCTTTGATGTTGAAATTTTGTAGGAAAAAAAAATTCCAACCTACCTACCGACCCATTTTTTCATCTTGGGTCGGGAGAGGGCAAGCAAACATTTTTTAAAGTTGGCCTTATAACAAATTAAAAGGTTTTCTACAATATAGTCTGTAAAAATGACAGAAAGCAAAACAAGTAAACTTCAATTTAAATATGAACAACAGTAAATAACTAATATATTTATTTTTCTTTAGTTTAGTGGAGGGTATCAGCCTACTGTTGGTGTAGATTATGGTTTTAAAATCCAGCACGTGGAGGGAATTGATTGTAAGTATTAAGGTCCCTCTATACACTGCACACTAGAGAGTTCTGATTTTGTGGTATTTTTATGAAGTTAGAGTAATCTGCCCTTAGATCTAAAATGAAATAAATTGAAATCTACAGTTTATCAATCAATTTCTAATCAATTCAAGCATTCTTAACATTTTGATAGGCCATGATAAATTAATTGAACACCTCATCTGCGTGCTTTTTCCCAACTTAGGTAAACAACAGTGATTTCTGTTCATCAAAACTTTGTTGACTTTGAACATTTCTCCTGGGGGTAAAAGCCAGGCACCCAATGTTGAAAACGATATAAATAAGCTCAATATATACACCTTTATACAATATAATTTTCTCAATGTCCAAAAACATTTTCGTTTAGTGTAGAGAGGGTCCTTAAGGTGAGGAAAAGAAAGACTGAAGGGATCATCTCCATAAGCCATTTTTTCCCCTTTTTCTGTTGTATGTTAGATCAGGCCAAAAATAAAATAAAATAAAAATAAATAAATAAATAAAAATAATAAATAAAGTAAAAGAAATAAATAAATTAAATAATTATCGAAATTGAAATAATTTTTTTCTGGTCATAGTGAAAATACAAATCAAATATGTATCGCATTAATGAAATAATGTTTGTTTCCATTCTATAAGTCAGAGTATACGTAAGTAAAATTTTCCAAAAACATATATATCCATTGAGCCCTTTACAGAGTATAATACTTCAATCATGGATATAAATTTGCCCCCAATCTTCGCAGTTGTTTTTTGGCAAAATCTTCATAGGTATCTTTACAATGCATTGTCCCAACTCCTACCAGCATATATGTACATGAGTGAATTGGTTACTGCATTCAGACTCCACTAAGTTTGAAATCGACTTACAATATCTTACAAAGCTCTATCACAATTGTTATTCCCCCTAATAATGAATGACTTATACATGAAACAATACATGTATATAACAGTTGTCTTCATTTTTCAAAAGTGAGAGTTCATCTCTGGGACCTGTCTGGAAGCCCAGAGTACATCGACGTCAGAAATGAACTTTACATCAACACGGACGCCATTTTCCTAGTTTTTGACGTCACCAATTTGTCGACGTTTGAAAACATGGAAAATTGGTTGAAAGAGGTCCAGAAATATTCATCTGGCAACCCGGATCTAATAGTGGTGGCCAATAAGGTATTTAATTTGACTTGAATGCTTTAATTTTACATGGAAAAGATATAAATTTAAAAAAAACTACGTGTGCATGGTCATGGATAAATACATGTACATGAAAATGATAATTACAAGCATCATCTAGGCCTATACAGAAAATGTATGTGTGTTTTTTTTACACAAAGATTGACCTAAAAGCAAAGAGAGTAGTAAAGTCAGAAGACTCCAAAAAATGGGCACAGCAAAACAACGCAAAGTAAGAATCTTTATACATGTACTATTGTGTTTCCGTTTCCTGAAACCTTGAATGAAATTATTTAGAAGTCTTGAAATAAAAATTAAACTGTATGTGAGTGAGCTAATTCATGTAATGATATACATTTAGTATCTATTTTCATGAATTTTTCAAAATAAAAGTTTGTTGGTTGCAAGTACCTCAAAGAAATCTTCAAATAACACCTGACATCATTACAAGAGTTAGATTTTGTGTTGTTTGAAATATAATGCTTCTTTTTATACTGTTCCCTGTTATTATTTTTTGTTATGCTTACACATTGTTTTGATCAGAAAGTTACGGATCACGAACTTGTAAAGATGAATTTCAAACACATGTACATTTAAGTCGAAATCCGAGTTGAAATGGACAATTTTAAGGACAGATACCAAATACATGTAATGAAAAATTGGAAGGAAAGAATTCTTGAAAAATCATTAAAATTGTCTCCTCTCCTTTTTACAGATATTACGAAACATCCGCAGCCACCGGGGAGGGTGTAGACAGGTTGTTCCACGATATTCTGACTGGATTGATTGAACGAAAGAAACTGTGGAAAGTCAAATCAGCCAATCCTAGCATTTGATGCATAAAAATCTCTGTGTTACGAAGGAAGACTAATTCATTGGAGAGGATGCGACATTCCCGGAGATTCAGCATTTGGGAACTGGAAACGTGTGTCTTTGTCCTGTAGAAATTTGTCACGTGATATCGGTTCTCCGTGTTTAAGGATAGTGTGTTCTTTTGATAATCATGTTTACAATATTGTATTGTATATGTGCAATTCAAAACAATGCCAACAATCAGAGCTTGAAAAAAAACCCCAATGTAATTAATATGTTCATTGTGTTTTTGGTGATACTAACAATTCTTTGCTTGCCATGTATACATTTAGGTGTATAAGATTAAATTCAAAATTAGCTGTTTTGAAAGCATGTACTTCAAATGCGAAAAAAAGAAAACTTAAACAAAACCAGCTGCTTAAGTTGTTGATCGATAATTTTTTTTTTCCGACGAACCCAAAGTGAAGAAAGATGAAAGAAATTGAATATTTTGTTTTAATTGAATGAAAAAAAGAATGAAAAAAAAATCTAAAGAAGTTACAAACATTTTTCTTGCGTACAATTTGTTGACTATTCAGGGGAAGAAATTAAAATTTTATTGCCATTGATCAATTGAATTCAATAATCTGAATTCAAAATTGGATAAGAGATACATGTACATTGTACATGCATAACAATCCATTATAAAGTATTTATGCAATAGATGAAACTGTGACACTTGAGGACGAATCTAAAAAAAAATGCTTCGGAATTTTCTCTATATATTGAAGCACACTTTATTAATTACAGAAAATATACTTTGAAAGCTTTACTGGCATGCACATGTCACAGTTGTATGCTGGAATAGCCTTAAAGACGGATGAGCAACCGAAATGTTTTCCGACTTAGCCACCGGTTTGTCCGGAATTGGCATTTCCCTTTAACTTGAACACAAAACGAACAGAAAATTGTATGCAACTGACAAGTGATTATCCGCAAACACCAGACAGACATAATTTTTTTTCCATTTATGGAATGTAATATCTTACCATAAAGGTACTTTTAAACTAATTTTCAAAAGACAATTTTTATTTTTATAAAAAAAAAATCACTGAGCCATCTCATATTTTAGTACAAGAATATGTTGGAACATATATCTGTAATTAATACTAATTATATATACAATACTGAGATTGTAAAAACATTTGCTTTTTTGTGATCAAAGATTTTCAGAGGATTGAGAGAGATCAATAATTTGAATAATACGTTGTAGTTAAATCAACGCAATGAGAAACATATTTTAAACATAATCCTGTAATATTGTAGTTTGCTTCATTAGCAATGTACTAGAATGTGTTTAAGTTCAGCACAGAATATATGATCAAAATTATAAAGTAGAAAAGGTGCTATGATGGTGCTTCCCTCTAAATTTGCCACTGATTAAGATGTTCCCTGAAACAATGATAGAACGAGCTTCAAACACCTGCATGCATCATCTGAATTACCCAAACTTTGCCAGAATTCTAGACATGTCAGCAATTTTTTCGGCATTGTTTTATTTTAGAAAATTTTCCAGAAACGAATAAGACCTATATTAAATTAATAATTATTTCAACAGAGCTGATTCTGCAAATACCTTCTAAAAAGAAAACATGGCAAAAGAACATGGTATACGAGCTTACAAAGCAATTCAGGACTATAGCTCCTCAGACCCGAAAAATCTGGAATTCCAGAAGGGTGATTATGTTAGCCACGTTAAGGTACTTAACAAGGAATGGGCATTAGGACGAAATACGCGAACGAAGAAAACAGGTTGCTTCCCAATATCATTCATTGAATATGACCAATCTCTTTGGAATCGATTTTCTTTTAATCAAAATCCAAAACTTCCAAAGACTTCTCATCGAACAACTATTATAGAAGCAGCTGACAGCGATGAAAGCGACGACAACAATGAAGATAAAAACATAAGCAATGACACACAGAAAACGCTGCCAGCCGAAGAGAACCAACATCCGAGTCATGTAACCATGATGAACGCCAAACTAATAAAACCTAAATCATTTCACGGCAAGACCAAAGAGAAGTATTACGAGTATACAATAAATGAAGAGATATTGCAGAAAAATACCCGCGCTCTGATAGACGAGCTCAAATTAAGGCTTCAGTCAAAAAATCCTACTCGATCAATGAGTTATCGCACTCAATCTCTCATACGGAGGATAATTGTGGCGGTGTGTGGTATTTTGTTAGGAGCTATTCTCTGTGGCGCTCTTTTCTCAATCTGTTTGTTCAGCTTTGGGTACACGTATAAAGTTTCAGGGATTGTCACAGGTACAGTGTTTCTTTTAGTTCTAATCGGAGTTGGTGGAAGTCGATTTCTAAGTTGCTGTCTGCTTCTTGTCGTTCCCTCTTTATTCACATCGCAAGGTAGAAGCTTAGCTCTAGCGGCCATATTTATTTTACTGATGGCGGGCCCAGGTACAAATGTCGTCAAGAATACAGTGGAAATAACGAGATGCTTGGCATGTGTGGCTGACCTGATCCAGAATCAGTTATTGCAACTTGCAAAACAACTCAAAGCTCCTTTCGATCGCATCGCTGCAGCGCTGAGAGAGGTATTCCAAAGCATTGTTAATGGTCTCCAGGAAGTCGTAGATACCATAGATTCTGTGGTCACGCAAATACAATCCTTCTTGAATACAGTGAAAGACATTGCCTCAAAGATTACTGGTGTTTTCAGTGTAAGTGATTTTATATTGCATATGATTCAAGAGAGATAAAAATATAAAAAAAGGAAAATAAAATGTGTCTACAGCAATGTATTAGTAAATACACATAATTTTACAAAAAGTAAGTATAAATAATAAAAATCTAAAGAGAAATGTGTACTTACTTTCATATTGAATGCACTTTCCAGTTAAAGATTAAACAAACATCTATCACTGTTTGTGAAAAAAGAAGTCATTTTACTTTAGGCATGTACAAAAACAATGGACGACGCTAAAAAGAATTGTAAGGAAGGAATAGGAAAAGCAGAAACAGAATGTGACAAAGCTCTGAGAGCAGCGGAAGAATGGTTGAAAAAAGCCGCGGAGACGGTGATCAGCCCCATCAAAAAGCTAGTGAGTGCCTGGGGAAGAAGGCGTAGACGTGCTCTCAGCATTTCACACTCAAGCCAGACAAACAGAACGGTCACTTGGGGGGAAAGAATGTCACATTCAGGTCAGACAAACAAAATGGAACTCATGTCTACTGAAAGGAAAGAGAGATACAGCTTAAAGCCCAGCAAAAACGTAATATCTATTCAAAGAATCACGAGTCCTGGCTCTGAGATTCCTGTTTCCTCAGCAAATCAAATGTCAAATAGAAGGTATGAACAATTTCTTAAATTTATCGAGTTCCCACAAAAATTTGATTAGTATGAAGCTGAATTTAATCTAATGATAACTAAATGTTTACAAGCATTACAGCTTTAGAAATAACCAGACATCATGTTTCCTTTTCCGTAAGATTGACATCACTTTTAACTATTTTGCTTACAGGTAAAATAGCCATTGTTTCTCTTCACATTCTATTTATTGACACAGATATTTTATTTGAAAATTTGTCTGAAGTGATATATATTTTTACGATGTTTTACAGTGTCTGGTTTATGAATACTTCGGCTAACGAGGTTCCTGTGGTATTTCAAGAAAGAGCTGGAAGGTAATCAGCAGTTACGAATCATTACCGATTTAGAGCAGACCAACACAAAGAGTATTACTGTCCACTGTTGTTGTTTTTTTTTTATCAGAAACCCTGGGTTTTCCCCTTTTCGTAAAAGAAAGTCTTTTCCTAATTGACTTTCACGATCGAATTTGTGATTTTGAAGTTTAAAATAAGTGAAATCAAGATATTTCATTTCTTGCAGGAGAAAACGCTCGATCTGCAGTGTTCTTGGAATGGTTGACGTTGTTTGCAATGTCGTCGATATTCCAGGATCCATATGCAAGGCCATCAGTTTTGCTTCAAATGAGTTGGAAAACGCAGCGCAGTCGGCAATAAAAGAATTTCAAAATTTGAAAAACGAATTCGTTTTTGGTTTCAACGCTTCATTTGATATAGACAATAATGTAAATTCTTCAAAAACCGCATCACAAATTGTCGGTCAGGTTCTTGCAGATATTTCTGGCAAACTGTCTAATATATTTTTAATATCAAGTGTCATCAGTCAAGCCTTGGGGATCACTGTCTTCTTCCTTTTTCTAAAAGCTGTTATTTACATGACGCGATACATGAAGCAGGATTTCTATGATAACGTTTATATATCCCCCGAGTTCATTGAGTATGACAAACGATGTCAGAAAGAGGGCCGAGAATCAGTTCTTCCATTAAAGTTTAAGGAACATTCAAAGTACATCATCACTTCTTTACCATTTCCCACTGCCCAAGAATTATCCCTCGCTATGACAGGTTTAACAGCATTTTTTACTCATTTCGGAATAGCCGTTGTAGTCATAGGGTTTAATTATGCTCTTTACTATCTACTCGTACTGATTGAAAAATATGGTGAAGTGATGGTCCTCTCTTCCAGTGTTGCTGGCCTGAACATCACAGTAGAGGGTAGTGGGTTTCTTGCGAATTTTCTTCGCAATCTTATATCGAATTTAGACCTCAATGTCAACATCACTTTAGAATTCAATGTAACCGAATGCTTACCGAGTCCAAGTCAACCAAACGAAAGCGATATCCCGATATTCTCACTGCTGTATGGTGGTGTCCTCTTCCTCGTTTTAATTCAGATGTACTCACTTCGAATCCGCCGTGTTATTACGTCTCATTTCTATCCAGACCGAGAACGAGAAAGGTGTCGTCTGCTTCATGAGTTGATACGTCATCGGCGAAAAACGCTCTTCACGTATGTAAGGCAGCGTTTACATATGCGTCGACATGACGTAGATAATCGTGTGTCGATTCGGGGGCTCCTTGAATACAGTCAATTTGGGATATTTTGTAAGCCATTGCTTGATTTTTGTTTGCCAAAGAAAGCAACATGCATAAGTTGTGAAGAAGATGCAAGCGGGAATGTGTCCTTCAGAAAATGTAAGCAATGCAAGTCTTTGTATTGCAAAAATTGTTTCGAGATGTTTCAAAATAATTGCCTGCTTTGTCATGCTAGACAAGATATTCGAAGGGGTAATAATAGGGTCTGATTAATTTAAGGCCAGAAAAAGATAAGATTTATTTAACGTGCTATCGTATCTTATCCTTCTTAAAACTCGATGTACACGATCTTTTTTAGATACTTTATGAAAATTAAGATAAAGGAAGTGTCTGTTTTTATTAAAATATGGTTGTTTAAAATAGCAAGTTTGAATAACCATATTGTAAATTTAGTAAAGGACAGCCTACTATACATCAGGAAATGTTCGCGCCATCTTAACAAGGATTATTATTAAATAATAATTAGTTATATGTTTCTTATTTAAATGCCCTCTTTAAAGTATATAAAGATGTCAGCATATTTTGTGAAATGAAAGAAAGTACATTTCTTGGTAAATGACATTATGTAAATGAGTCACGTTCTAATTAATCACTATAAGAAGAGTACCCAGGAACTATTTCATAAATATTAAAATTGCATGTATTAAATCTTTACTTAATACTTATATATTTATTTATGAAACAAGTATGTCATAGTTTTTAAGAATAAATAAGTATTTATAATTATAACTTTTATGATCATCATTGAATAAAATCTTTTGAACATTACAATATTTTTATAGTTTTTACCATACTTAAATAAAAGTATGAACATTAACACACTCTCATACTTATGCTTAATTCAGAAAAGCATCAGGGCTGTATATTATTGACTTGTGTGAGCTGAAACCCCAAAATTATATTCTTATCAAAGTTCCTCAATCGTCCAATTATCGTCTCATTGTACACTGTATAACTTTTCATATTTTCGAATTTCAATAAGGTCACACGACACGTTGCTGGAAAATAGAGAGGTTAAGCAGTTGACCGTGTGCGTCTACGTGTACGTGTAAACCTAAAAGTGTTTTACAAGTACGAGTAACTATCATCGAGTTCTGTTTAACAAACTGTGCGTGTAGCGGTACATGTAAAACGTCATTTCAACAGGTCACTTTACAATCCATTCGTATCAAATAATTCTATGACTTTAATTAAAAAAGATACATAGATGTACGTAATAAACTCTCAATATCACAACAAACACCGGCTGAAAAATATACATTCTATATTTTGGGTTTAAGAAGTTACACGTTCTGTCCTACGTGTACATATGAATCTACACGTTGTGTAAAACTTGTAGAATTACGCGCTATGCAAAACTGATGACGTAAATCGCAGTAAATTAGGGGATTTCCCTAGCTACACGTACACGTAGACGTACACGGTCATCTGCTTAACCTCTCTAATATATAATTTTCCCCGAGAATTTGTCATTGAAGTATAGCTACTTAAACAAGTTTCCTCACTAAAAATTGAGGTACCTTACCAGACTTTTGGGCAAAATACCGACGGGTGATATTTCTTATAATTCTTATGGGTAATCTTTTGAATTACCAATGTCACCATTTTAGGTGTACTAATTTTTTAAAAACATATTGAAAACAATTTAGAAATCACCAGAGAATGACAATATGAATAATTATTTTTTTTTTTTTTACATAATTCCAAGGTTTACAAAACATATATTTGAGGAACGTGTTATCTGACCTTAAAAGTATAACTAAACTTGGCATAAAACTTTTTTGTTAAAATAAAGTGAGGAAATGTGTCCCGTTCACGAAGAGATAGCAAGAGAGTATTGAAATTTAGGACGCATTTGAAAATGCTCTATAAGGTATTCGGGCAGGGGCAAATAGCTGTATGTAAAATACTCTTTGGACACAATCAAGTTTTCTCAGTCTTGCCATAGGGCCATGACAGGCTAAAATAGGGACCTATAGTTTTACGTATCAATACAGTAAAAACTATCTAACCCGACACTTGTGCAATCCGTTTTACTGTGAATTCCGACATTCATTTTCATTCCCATTCTACTATTTTCCACTCGGCCGCGTGGTGCATTGGTTAGAGCATTTGCTTAAGAGTTGCGGTGTAAGGAGTTGATCCTTACCGCTCAACTAATAGTCTCACTTTAAATATTCCATTCCGTAGACAACGAGGAGAGTACTGGATCAGGAAATTAGGCACGAGTTTTCCTTGTGGTTACAACGACCTCATAAATAATGTAGGAAATCTTCAAGCCCACAATGTTCCAGTGTGAATGTGATGATACATTTTATCAAAACACAAGACGAAGGCGTAGTCATGGACATCGATCATACAAGAGACCAAATATATACATAATGTTTCACTTGATTTTCTTTTACATTACGTCAATAAACAATTAGGTCTTCTGATATATATTATTTTTGAAATTACACGAAATCTTGCAACTTATGAGATATCTTGAGACTTGCGAAAGTTGCCTATTCTGTTAGGATATACATGTACGTCCCTGGTACTGCTTTTGTATAAATTACTTAAAGAATAAATTTTACATACTCTTTTTTTCCCATTAAAATGGCAAATTTAGAATTCAGGCAAGTAAGGCTCTAGAGTGAGCCTTTCTCTCTTGGGTATAGGCTTACTCTTTATCGAGATTTCAGGGGGAGAAGTATCATGGCTCTGAGAGGAGGTATGGCTCTAGACTTAGACAACCCCTTTGGGGGGAAAGCTCAATCTAGAGCGAGACATCCGGTGGAAGTTTCAATGTGGGGGGAAGCTTCGCTCTACAATGGCACTAGAAGTGAAAGTCACGGGTCTTCCGGATTGGACCACGATAGGCGTTAGCACAATAAAGAACCCCCACTGTTCAAAAGGTTCTGCGTGCTGAATAAAGGTATAAATTTGAAGCATGAGTAAAAAGTTCTCGAATCGGAAGAGTAAAACAACATACAATCAATCTACTTGAGAAGAAATCTCTCACTGTGATCTTCAAGTTAAATCCTTTATCAATTAACAACAGTTACATATGTCGACTCAATATATCCCAGTGAACTCGAAAGAGTGTGTCACATCTGTTTCGTAAATGGATGTTTTACTGATTATAGACGATAATGGTCAACTAATAACTAAACTGTATGACAAACGAGATGACTTAAGCTTTTCCATCGTCAACTTTTTTTACTTAAGTAGTTAATATCCCACTTTCACCTGCATATGATGTTTATGTCTCCCAACTTATTTGATACACAAGATTATGCTCTGAGTACGATCACTTTTTAAATCAAGCCAGGGTATTTTATGTTATAGGGATTTCAACAGCCTATAACATAAATCCTATGGTCGTTATAATGACCTTGTTTTCAAATACAACCTCCCATTGGGTCGTATTTTGACTGACAAATTCCATACCAATTGAGGCCATTGATTTTATACTAAATTTGACTATGGATTATTCCGTTTTCTTGATCAATGCATGGGGATCAAGGCGGGTGTGACCAGTCAACAGGGGACGTTTACATCTACTACTCCAGAGTTCCCCCTAGGCACCTTATCCCACCTCTAAAATGTCTAGGGGTCCGTGTTTTATGCCTTGTTTACAAATTTGTTTGTATGTTTTTAAGATTGATCAAATTCAATGTTCGTTATCTTCACCTTTTTTATATAACACTTTTGTGCAATGATTTTTCAAGGCTTTTCATGTCTCCATGGCAAGGAGGAGCCAAGTAAGAATTTCTACATGTTCAACAATTTGAATGTATTATTCTCTATTTTCAATACTGAAAATAATTAAGAAATGGATTTTAGTAAACAGCGGGTTTGTTCATTTGTAGATTGATTTAATTTGTTGAAATGATAACCAAGATTGGTACATTGTACTTAAAAATTAACCTCATTTAAATAAATGTTTTCAGAAAACATAAAAAATATTTTAGCTTTTTGTAATACGCTAGTATTTTTTATTCTTTGTAATTTGCTTTTGAAATCTTGTCTTCTTAGTTTTTAATCGTCTATGAAATGGTTTATTTTAGGTCCATCTGTTACGAACAGTAATAAAACTCAGGTGATCGATATAATCTTGAAATTTTGTTCGACTTTCCCTCACTTTTTTTGATAATTGACAATTCCAATACTGGAATAGTTATTCCTATATTTGATATTGGAAAATATTCCAATATTAATTTATATTAATGTATGAATATTAAACCCAAAGATATCAGATGCTTGAACCAAGTATTGTTCCATTTTCCTCAGCTCAAGGCAAATATTATTAAACTTCCGCCAGAGTTCTTTTGTACCAAACCAAAATCGTTTGCTGTATGCGGAGAAGCAGAGGACGATGGGTAGTATGCTAATATTATAAGCTAGCACCGTTAGGCCATTCGTTGATGAAAAGATATAACGGTGGAGAATCAAATAGAAAGCTTTTATTCAAAATGAATTCAGCTCTAATTTGTTAACAACAGATAACCGTTACATATAAATGAATATACAATTTACGTATAAATTAAGATGAAGTGGTTTTAGTCTACATCAAAGGATAAAGACATTTTGCAAAAGAATTGAAGTACATGTATAATTATGCATATACTAAAACAGAAAGGGCTCTGTTAATTATCATTGTATACTAATAATGAGGAAAGTTCAAAAACCTACTTGAGATGATAGGCTATTTCAAAGGAAATTGGAATTTTAGCCATTTTTTTTTTAGTAAACAAGGGATTGTACATGTTAGCTAATATGTAAACTGCTTGGAAACATTTAGTGTATTTATTTTTTACTACCAGTGGGGAAATCCTTTTTATTTCCTAACTTCAGCATGCATTTTTGATTGCAACATTTTTTAATAATGTGAAATTGATTTTTTTTTCAAGCAAATATGGACAAAATGCATAAAAATCACAAAATACATAAAAAATTGAGCATTTAATTTTAAAAAAAACTAATAATAATAATTATTATTTTCTCTGAGATGCACAAGAATAACAATAAAAAATGATACCCTCAGTCCATTACCGGTATCATGACTGCAGCTGACTTTATGCATATGTTACATTAAAAGTTTAAATCTAAAGTTTAAACTTATCTATAACTAGATAAGTTTAAACTTTAGATTTAAACTTTTAATGTAACACATATACTGACTGGTCATGGCACAAATACATCTTCATAAGGAAAAGGTGAAAAAACACTTGGAATGTACAAATTTTACACGTGATTGAATGAAATCTTATAAAACAGTAGCAAAGAAACTGAGTATTCACAATTTTAAATTAAAAAGCTACATGAAATTTACAAGTAATGAGGTATGTGACTTGGAAGAATGATCATTATCTCTTGAATATTCATGCCAATCTTAAAGACTTTGTTCAAAAATATTGCATGTAAAACATTGCATGCAAGTAATGCATGAATATAATTATGATTGAAATTCAATGAACATTAAGATGACAGATAATTGATTTCAATTAATTAGTGTGGAAAATTGTAAGTTTTGGCACAAAATAATTATACAAAATTAATTAATTTAAGAAGCTTACCCCAAGTTTTTTGGTCAAATATTTCAATTTTTACAATTTTACTAGAAAAAAAATTACTATTTAATTTTGGTGTGTTTTTAGAGTTTGAAGTAATCTGCTCAAAAAGAAATGAATAAGATTTAACATAATAAATATAAATACTTGTATTTAACAAAAAAATAGACAATCCATTTACAAATGCTATAAATTCCCCACAATTCTTTGCTGGAAGTCAACTGTAAGATGCGCCTTGTCCATTCCACGGAGCGTTTTTAGGTAGTCAAAGCTGCTCTTATACTGTTGTTGACTGAACCCTAAAGAAGTGAATACCCCCTTCAGTCCGTCAGCACGAGCCGTTTCCAGGGTGGCTGTATAATTAGCTTGTGACGTCACTGTTATGAGATTGGCAATGGCTGTTCCGTTCTCTCGAATTTCCGCAGCCTCGTTCTTGATTACCTGTACCTTTTAAAAAAGATTTTACACGTATGTTACAACGCACTTTGAAAAAAAAAAAACTCAAAGTGCGTTAAATTTGGGACCAAGTTAACGCACTTTAAAAAAAGATTCTTTTCAAAGTGCGTTAATATCGACCACATTAAAGCACCTTGAAAAAAAAAAACTCAAATGAACACGGCTTGGTCAATATTCTTCCAACTTTTAGGTATGATAAAAAAAAATTATTTGAACTTCTCAGTGCTGACGTTACCCCAGGATCTAAGATATAGAAGTTTTAAAGATCTTGTTCCCAAAGGTTACACTCTTACAGATTTATGTATCTTAATATAGTGTACTGTACCAAGTGTTAATGAAATTAAACCGAAGGAGGAGTAGCGTTTTAGAAGAATTTTAACAGTAAGTATATTTTAAGTAACACTGTCGAAATAAAAAACTGGTGAATAGAATTATGTATCTCAATACAGTCTACTTGTGCACCAAGTCACTGAAATTGGATCAAAACTGTAGGAGGAGTAGCGTTTTTTTTTTTTTTTTTTTAAATTTGTTTACGGACAGACAAAGAGACAGACGAATGACGGACACCTTACTATCGCATAAACTCTCTGGTCTCTGACCAGTTGAGCTGAAAACAGAAAAACCCAAATACCTTATACTTCGTGTGTTTTATATTTCTTTTTTAAACAAAACACTTCTCTGGCAGTTTGTGGTACATGTACAAATCATCTTTTGTTCAAATATGAAACATTTTATTTATATAGGGACTCAGAAATTAGTGTAGGATATTTAATTTGTACACTAGTATTAAAAAAAAAAAAAGTAAATCAACTGTACAAACAAGGTGACAGCTAACTGTGATCCCTTCTAATAGTTTTGCCAATATCTGTTTGAGATTAATTTATACTGGAACTCGACACTTTAAAGAAAACAATTGATGTCTGGTATTTAAATTTTGAACTCTGAACAGAATTCTGTTGAGACACTTGAGTCATTTGTGATTTAACTGAATAAATGTGTCGTACATTGACCTAATTAAACACATGACAATTGATTACTCTCCATTAATTATTAGTATTAATCAAACTTAGCTAGATTTACAAGAAGCATTTTGTTCACTTATGGAAAGAATTTGTACTTTAAAAGATAGTATCATATTGAAAGTTAAAACTTATTTATTGATGATTTATTAAAAAAAGAGAATGATCAAGAAAACAAACCATTGCTGTAGTGTTCTTTCTGACAACTTGTGCGTCTTGAAGGAGTTTTTCTCTGTCGGCTTCCTCTTGTAGCGTTAAAGCTTTCATATACTGGCTCTGGACGTCGCTGGGGATAGTTATCGTTCCTAGCTGGAAGTACTTGACGTCTACGTAATATCCTTTATCAGCAGAAGTACATGTTGATGTCGGCTTACAGCCAGTAGGACATGCTGGAAAAAGGGGATAAAAGCCAGTTTGAAAGACACTGTAACCATTAAAGAATGGGGAATAGGGGCTTTGATTTTGTATAGATTTTCCGCTGAGGCTTTCTAAGCCAACTGTTTTTCAATATTCACATTGTACGTACATGTTTTCATGTACTTTTCATGTCGATGATTTTTATAACTTAAAAAGGTAATTGATTCCTGTTCTTTAATAGCATAATGCATTTAATTGTACAAAGTTTCGTAATATAAAGTATTTCTCATGATATTACAAAAGATTCCAAATAAATTGATTTTTTTTTATTTTACTAGCTGGATATATATTTACTCCAGTAAAAAAAAATTGGAGTAAAGTACAAGTAGGTGAAAAAATGTGTGACCTGCTTCAATGCACATCCCCATCACTTATGTTCAGAAAACCTTGCCTAGATAATATTAAATTAGTTTTCAAGACAAACAGTTCAGTTCGGTTGGTTAAATAAAATCACACACACGATAAATGAGACATCTTCCCTAGCCAAGGGTGACGATCCGCTCCTCTTCAGTGAAAAGAGGAGAGGAGCAGATCGTCACCATTGGCTAGCGAAGATGTAAATGAGATAATAATTGACATATTTTTATATAATACAGTATAAAAAGCAAAAGATAAAGTTACAGATATGATAATTGGGAAAACAGGCTATGTCATTTAACTTCGTTATCTGTGTACAGTTTCTTTTTTTAGAGTTACAGTATCATTTGACTTAGTATAAATAATACTGGGCCAAATGTTAAAAAAAAAAATACTGGGCTAAGTGTTGGGAAAAATACATCTGTCGATCGGATGAAAAGTTGGAAAAATATACCCTGAATGAATTGTTGAAAAAATATATCACGGACAAGGAATGTACAAAATGTTTAGCTTTGAACTTAACCTCTTGATAATGGTTTACTCTCGAGGCACTCTTGTGATACGCAAGATACAAAAAATCTCTTTTCTTGTTTTTTTTTGTTTTTTGATTTATTCAATCATGTATATTTTTGGACACAAAAGGGGAGTGGGACCCCCTGGCCCACCTCTAAATCCGCCAGTGTTTAATACTCAAGAAAACCGTGTTAGAGGTGAAATAAAACCAACATTGTTTATTGAGAAGACATAGGGAGTGCCTGCTGCCCAATCCTTTTGTGATTATTCATAATAAAATATTGTTTAAAGTAAAACTAACATTTGGCCGAGTCTGTAGAAAAATAGTCAATGCAAATATTGTTCAACAAATAAGGATTGTTTTTGACCTAAAAATTCACGTTTGTAAAAGGAAACAATATAAAACTTGGAGGCCAGTCACTGTTGCTTAAATCAACAAGGATATAATTTTTATTTTGTTTTAGAATACCCTATGTCAAACACATAACGGTAGACACAGAATCATGTTTCCTTCACGTTTGTTTTAGTAATAACCGTATAAAACCTGTCGCCCTACTTACCGTATCTAAAGGAAGAACAGTCGGGCCTACAGCAGGTGCCCCCTAATCTGTCACGTACTGCCTTATATACTGTTTCCTCCATCACTTTTCTGTTTGTGATCAATTCTCTCGTGTTATACCCTGTGGTTGCGCCCTAAACATGGAAATATTATATAAAAAAAGTCAGGTTTTCCCCCCAAATATGACTAACTGCGTGGTACTGAAATATAGTAAGAATTTCAAGTTTGAAATATTGACCCCGAAATCTCGAATTACATAATCAGATTTCTTCAAGTGCACACAAAAATTATGTAACACTCCATAGAATACAAGTTCTTAATGTGCATGGTACTTTTTTGATCTGTTGATTTACTTAACACATTTTAAAATTAAAATGGCTACTTTCAAAAAAAAGGGGGAGATGAAAAAAATTAATTAGTGCAACATAATCAAAATGTTAGGAAAATATATCTCTTTTTCTGATCATTCACAGGTGTTCTTATGTAGAAAATTAGACATATTTCTCAGAAGCTTCACTATATACGTTTTAATTTTACAAATGACCAGGGTATTTCACCTTCACGGCGTCCAGAGCACTGTTCTTTATAATGTCTCGGTAGTCTGTATCATAAGCGTCGTGAAGAAGCACGAGTTCGTCTTTACGGAGGAAGTACTGTAAATTTGCTGTCATTTTCACCTGTAAGGTATACCACATAAAATTATCACCTTAAAAACACTTACTCTTCTTCCGGGTACGATCGAAATCTCTAATTCATCAAATATATTGCATGCCATCTTCTAACTTTCAGGAAGTTTCATTTGTCCTTTGTTGAATTATTCATTAAAGAGAGAGAGTTCAAATGAATACATTTCAAATGCCTTTGTAACATCCATTTGCATAAACATGTATAATGATTTCATACTGGATTTTTTTTTTTACCTCTAGCTTGTCAGCCGTGAAGATGGCAATGTCCTTTAAGGTGACAAAATGTGCATCTGAACTGAAAACCTTGAATTCTACATCTGGACCAACGAAGAATTTTCCGTTGGTGTACACCTCCGATTTATCCACGGTTCCAGATGATTTCTGTCGTTCAAATCCCATCTATAATCAGAACCATGTGAAAAAGGATTTGAAAAACTAACAGAAGAAAACAAATGAATCCTGCAGTATATTATTCGATTATCTGTTATGCTAATTTTGTTAGATACTGTATTCCCATCATGTCTCGAGTATTATTAACAAGCTTCTGTTTATAAAATTTTATAACTGGTAGATTATTAAATAGTGTTTAAATTAACATATATAATGTAATATACACGATGTATACACTACATCACTGGGTATATATTTTTATGCTGAATATATACATTCAATATTCAGGATAAATAATGTCTGTAAAGGGACATGATACATGGATTAATTGGATTTCAAACAAATTATGTTAGTGAGATACTAAAGCATACAGGGGTTTGTTTCATGGTAGTGATTCATACATGTACATCACCCGGAAGTACGGTATACTTCATGGCTTTACTTATACCGTTTAAAATACATAAACTATATGTACAGTCATATATTAACCTCAGAACCCAGGTGATGGTGAAAAAATTGTTGTAGTTCCACTTTCTACTCCCTCCAATAATGTTTATCTCTATAAGATGCCGACTTAGTTTTATTTTAAAATAGTAGATGAGTTTTGGACATGATAGTAATTTGACAGACTTTCGAAACTCGTGTACATTTGATTGCCCAAAAGCACTGAAAATGTTGAGTAGAAATCTGGGGGGGAAAAACGATGCTGAAGTTCAAATAGAAATATAAAATACACATACATGTACATGTATATAACGACAGTGTATATATATTCTCTTATTTAAACTCAACAGAACCATCCTATTTAAAAACAAGTGACGGTCTAATACATGTAGATAATAATAGTAGAATTATGCATATATTGAAATTAGTAATACGAAAAAGATCCACATGTACATAAGATTGTACTAGCAAACCCAGGTATGAATCGATTATCGATAGTTCATTTCAATGGTTGATCTTTTAACATCGAAAACTTGAACACGAATTCCTATAGTGTTGTGACAAGATTTGTGTTGGACAGTGTTATTCCTGTGTTTCTAACATACCTCGTAATATTCCAATGTTGAAAAGCTGATTGGTATGAGGATCACTATTAACAATGCGGGTATTCCAACAGCTACCGCTATGATACAGAAACACTTCTTTCCCTGTTCGTCCGCCATTTCTGGTCAATTTATAAACTCGGGACGCCGATAACGTAATTTATATTTCCTTCGAAATAAAGATGTACACGGATTACTTTGTACTCATGGGATATTGCCTGTTATTTATTATTTCGAAATCGTCTAATTCGTCGTGTTTTTAAATATCCTATAACACGTCGGAAGTATATAGAGCGGGGTTGTTAAGCAAGCGGATCAATGGAAACATTACCGGGACACACCATGTCTTTTAAAACTCTTCAGTAAATTGGGTCATTGTATATAAACGTATACGTAACTATAAAGTTTTTTTTTTACCATTCTCAACTTTATAAAGTACTAAAAAAACGGACCAAAAAAAAAAAAAAAATAAATAAATAAAACACAGAAAGGTGCACAACATTTATTTAAAAATATTTACATAAGGATAAATAGTACAAACAGACTTTTTTTCCCAGAAATCAGCAATATTTCTTTTAGATTAATCTTCAAATAGGTAACCTGAATGATATTTTCAAGGTAAAGCGGGAGAATAAAAAAAAAAATTGTCAGATTGTCAAAAATATGTGCAAAATTTTGTATAGAATTACATAGATAACGAATCAAAGTCGCATATATATCTAAGCACGAAAGAAAACTTTATACTTTAGGGATTGCATGATTTTTTATGTCATTTCCATTCAAAATCAGTCTCTCTCTCTCCATACATACATACATATATACATACATACATATATCAATCCATGCATCGGTTGTTTGTGTAATGTATCCTTAATATTAACATTATTGTTATCTGACTGATAGCTCCCACATTATGAACGTGTACAACTCACGGAAACAGATACATGTACATGTATATAGAGAATACATATATTGCATACTATTAGCAAATTCAAAGAATTGTGGTCCCTTGCTTTCGGTGTCTTAATGGTCGAAATGCAATTAATTAAGGCATATAATAACTGTCTTGTTTGTGTGTTCTGTGTTGTCTGTCCATCATACAAAAAATATATATTTTTTTTTGAATTAGTAAAGGTTACTTTCAAAATTAAAGCCTCTCAAAACTGCATCCAACTTCAAGTCAAGGCCATGAGATCAAATATCATAAAACAATCCGATAGATCTTGGCACAAGTAATAATTCGCATGTGAATAAAATATGAAAGCCCTGTCTCTTATGACCAAAGTTAAAATTTTTGATAAGTAGGTCAAACTTCTAGGTGTTGTCATAGGTGATGTACAATGTACATTAGAATATGAAAGCCCCTATCTTCTTTCATTCAAAAGTTTTTGCAAATAAAAAAAAAAGAAAAGAAAAAAATTAATTCCTTATAGTAAAACTACAAAAACTTGAGAGTATGATTTGAACTTCGTTTGGGGAACATAATCTAAACCTGCAGCATGCAACAGGCTGCTAACAATTAAATTAAGATGATTTCTTTTTTAAATCATTTTATAAGTGACTGCTTTCTCTAAAGGAATTTATGAATGCATCATTGGAATTAATGAAATTTTGAGTTTACTTGAAGACATCATCACCACTAGCAAATCCTGGTTTGTCATCAGCACAACTCCTCAGTTTCTTTAAACAAATTGAAGAGAGAAATGATAATTTATATATTGTGTGCATTTATTGCATTATTGCTTTCTATAATTAATTATAATTTATTAATTCCTTTGTTGAATTTGTTAATTCATTGGAAGAAAGCAACAATTCAATTATTGTGTGCACCAATTCTGCAAATGAATTAATGTTATACATAAACAATTAATGAAGTAATGTGTAAATTAATTCAGAATTGAAAATTATGTTGAATACTTGAAGATATCTCTAATTAAATTGTTGTGTAATGTATCAAATAATTTGATATCTTAAATTCAAAGGACTAATTAAAAGATATGTGTATCTTCAATTCTTTGGCTGCAAGAAAAAGGCGGGAAAAAAGGAAAAAAACCAATTTCATTTACCAGTATTGCACAAAGTAAAGATTAACAGTTTAAATGTCAGTTCAAGTTTGAAAATTATAGATTTCCCAAAGTAATAGCACACTACTCTCTCAGATCGCTGCAATACAGAAAAAATCCATTGGATTTACGTTAATTACTGTTTATTTGTTATCACACCATGAACATGAAGAATTATAGCAGTTATGTTTTATATTTGCTAAGTATATAAAGTTCCAATAACATTTCACTACAAAACTCTCTAAGATGGCTGCAATGAAAAAAGTACTCAGATTTACATGTTATTCAATATTGTTTATTTGTTGTCACAATTTGTGAAGATTTACATGAATATTGAATTTATATGTTATTGCATGTACATGTACTTTGAAAAGAATGTTTGAAAATGGTTACTGTTATACAATGATTCTGAAAAGATTTTAGGAAGCAAATGCCATTTATTATAAGTAGTGCATTATACATTGTATATGAATTGAAATGTCAAAACAAAACACACATAAAATGAATTAAGATGACCAGTCACTGCACTACACTTTATGCCTACATATACGATTATTAAAACCCCTTAAATTGCATTACAAAGCACTATGCAGGTTTAGGCCAGGTTTATTTTTCAAAGAAATTAACATGCAAACAAAGCAGTTTTCATACAACATTGCATATTCCTAACAAAATGCACATTAAAATGCATCCAAAAATAAAATAAGCCTCCTCTGCCGCCCAGGAAAAACCATATATTAAAAACAAAATCTTTCAAAAAATGATGGAAACCTGTGAACCGCGGCAAAATGCAGAGTTAGCAAAAATTTGAGTGGCGGAACCTCACTCTATTTAATTATGAAACAATATTTTCATGAGTTATGGATTTTGCAATATAGACAAATTTATATTGATTAAAAAACTTGTTTTTCTCAGGACAGTATGCACTAGAAAGTGACCATTTAATACCGTAATACCCTTTAATAATCGAATGTTTGCCTATGCAATATATTCTGAAATAATTCTGGCTGTAGCCTAAATAACTAAAACTTAGTAACAAGACATTTCCATAACATGGTTTACATGTTGTTAGGGCAATTAATTTTTGCTAATACTACATAACACAAAAAATTGTTATACTGCACTCATCATAAACTTTCCAAACAGCATTAAACATCAAAGGCTAGAGTATAATCACTGACATTAAAAACTTCCCAGGGAAAATATGGATAAAAAGTCACACGTGTCCGACGAAAAATTAATGGAAGTCTAAGTCTGAATGCAAGACATCGCATTCATTTGATAGAACTATAAACTGGTCAATACGTCAACTGGTGTAACAAAGAAATTAACTGCTGGGGGTGATATTAGCACATACGTTTTTTGGTTTCAAAACATCAACAAAAGAAAGGAAGGAACAAAGACCGGAAATGCAATATCCTTCTCACAAGGTCACAGATCCTTCACACAAGGTCTTCGCATAAGGTCACAGATCCTTCACATAACGTCACAGATCCTTCACACAAGGTCAAAGATCCTTCATGTAAAATCACAGATCCTTCACATAAGGTTACAGATCTTTCACACAAGGTCACAGATCCTTCAAACAAGGTTACATATCCTTAACACAAGGCAAGAGAACCTTTTCATAAAGTCACAGATATACTTCACAAAAGGCCAAGGTCCTTCGCAAGGTCACAGTTCCTTCATACAAGGTCACCAATTTTTACAAACTATATGTAGGTAACAGATCCTTCAAATCAGGTAACAGATCCATAATAAAAGGTCACAAATCCTTCACTCTAGTTCAAAATAGAGTTCTATATCTCCTTCACCAATAAACGTCTCTCCTTTCATTTCTAATGATCCATAACATGAATTTATTTTGATGTGTTGCCCAAATTTCTTCTTTCCAGAACTATCAAGACAGCTCAGATGATTCATAGGATGTGTTCTATCAAATTAAAAACATGTCAGTTTAACAAATGAAAAACCAAAAAGTGATATCGTATAGACTTCAGTACTTATGAAAATAAAAACAAGTAATAAGCTATTGAGTTTCAATAATATAAAATCAACCAATGCATTTCGGAAACAATGCCAAATTTAGAGGCCCAAAGGCTTTTGCAATCACCTGAATGTCACTGCATTTTTTTCTGAGCCAAAGTGTGTTCTTTTTTCTAAACTACTTTATTTTTCACAAAGATGGAGTCAGCTCCATCTAGATTTAAAGGGCAATGATTTACACAAATTTCAATTTAAACTACTAGTATCTGAGGGCATTTTTGTAATAATTTGACAATTCGAAGTCTAATATTTCGGGGAGAGAATTCCATGAAATTTCTATACGTTCTAGAGAAAAGATGAAATTGTAAAAAGTTTACAAAGAAAAGGATGATGACAATGCTGACAACAACAGACAAATTTTAATCAGGAAAAACTCGGCTCAGGTGAGCTAAAAAAGTCAGACGGTGCAAGATGTGCCATTGTGTCTTACCATCATGTCTTGGATTGGCCACAGTCAATCCCTGCACTTTTGCTGGTAGGTAACTGTCTGCTCTTCTTATGAGAATGAAAACCAGCCCATTCCTGTATGTATAAACAAAGAATATCTATAGGTCTAAGGAAAAAGGATTTTCTTGACACTTGTAGAGCTATAAGTCTTCAGAGAGCCAGAAGCAGATCAACTTATAAAATATTTTACCATTAATTCTTGGGTTGGCTGCACTTGATCCCTCAAAACATTTTGAACACTTTTTGTCAGATGAAAGTCACCAGCTTGTGTCGGCATCTACACTTGCACTACCCTAGATCTAACCCTGACCTATTAATAAAAAATATCAAACAGAAAAAGAATTGCTTACACTTTTAAAGTGGAAGAAATGATGAAAATCAATAGAATACTGGATTGGCATATTGCATCTTACCATCATTCCTAGGGTTTACGGCAGTCTATTCCAAAACGCTCAGCACTCTTACTTTAAGGTGAGATTCTTTTCTTAAGGATTCTGGATAGAGGTTTGTCTTAAACTGCTCAATAAAAGTAGAGAAACATTCTCAATACTAGTATATAAAGGATGAGCACCCCAAAAATCTAGAGAGTACTGGCATTGTGACATGAATCCTACCCTTTTTTCCATGGTTTGCCACAATCGATCCCTTATCTTAAGACTTCTGCTGACAAACAATGGAGTCGTATCTCACACTAGGACTGAAGCTTGCCTTACCATTCTCCTGTTAATTCAAAAAGTAAGAAGGTGAAAGGAGTAATACTATTACTTGCTGCTTTGATCAAATTACAATTAGAACGAGGTATCCAACAGAGCAACTTGTTACTTACCACAATGGCCAACATTTTCTGCTGGTCATAGCTGAGCCCAATCTTCTGTTGACTGGACTTAGTACCTCTATGACCAATATCCCAGCCTAAATCTTCTGCATCTTCCAACGATTGCTGCAGTTGAGTTAAAGACATACTTCTTCTCAATAAGGGATCTGTAGGTCAGCCAAGGTTCTTTCTAATCGCAAAAAATTAAACCAAGGGTCAAATGATTCATGAATACTGCAAACAAAGGGTCAAAGGAATATTATAATAAACAATTTGCTATATAGATCAATACGATTTACAATTTTGTATCAAAAGCAGAACACACCCCTTAATTTTCTATGACAATACAGCTATTCTGATATGAATCTCACCCTTTAATCCACTATGCCACATTAAATTCCCTGATCCTCAACCACTTGCAGCTGATGAACTGGGTCCTCTTCTGCTCCTCGGGATAGGTCGTTCTCTTCTACTTTTTGAGACGGGTCCTCTCTTGTGCTCCTTGGGATGGGTCATTCTCTTCTGCTCCTTAGGATGATTCCTTCTCTTCTAATCCTTAAGATGGGTCCTTCTCTTCTGCTCTTTAGGAATGGTCCATCTCTTCTGTTCCTTGGAATGGGTCCCTCTCCTCTGTTCTTTGGCACAGGTCCTTCTCTTCTGCTCCTTGGGATGGGTCCTTCTCTTCTGCATCCTGTCAGTGGAAGTCAAGAGGTCAAGGCCAAACAAGGTCAACATCAATTGACAAGTAAAAGACGGGGAAAGTTTGCAGCGAGCAGATCTCATATCTTACCGCTTCTTCCAACGATGACTGCAGTTGATTGGGAGACAAGATTCGTCCACACCAGGGGCTGCATGCAGATCCTCCTAACCGCCTACTGCTAAAACAAAACAAAATTCAAGATGTCAAATGAATTTTAAGACTTCATAGCTACTGAACAATCGCCCAAGAAATCCACACAAGATAGATTTCCTCACATGAATCTTACCTTTCTTCTCTGCTTGTCAGCAGTTAATTCCCCGCCCTGCTCCCCACCCTCCTCCTGACAAACAAGGAAGTTGTTCCTAACATTGGGATCCAGGCATCCTCCTATTAACACAGAGAGTCGGGATGTAAAAGAAATACCCTAAATGTTTTGATCAACTTAGAATAAAAACAACAGGGAATCAAAATTGCAACAAATGCAGTATGTTCTTACCACTCTGGCCAATGTTGGTTTCTATTCATAGCTAGGCAATGTAGTCCTCTTCTTCTTTTGGCCGGCCAAAGTCCTCTTCTGTCGTCGTCCCTCATCTGAACCCCTGAAAATATACAACTGACAAAAGATTAGTAAAAAATCAAAACAATTACAGAAATTAAATAGAAATTCACCAAACAATGGCAAAAATTCACAACATTATAAGCAAAAATTACAAAATTACTTGAAAAATCAGTTAGCAAAAGGGGACTGTTACTTTGGGAAAGGGCAGAAGAGAGTTGAGAGTAGAGGAGGGGAAGGGAGATGGTTAGTCATGTTAGAGTAAGGAGGGGACAGAAAGAGAGAGAGAGAGGGGGATAAATCAAAAAGCTTCTCTATCAGGCTCTCTGGCTGATGAACTGGGTCCTCTTCTGCTCCTTGGGATGGGTCCTTCTCTTCTGCATCCTGTCAGTGGAAGTCAAGAGGTCAAGGCCAAACAAGGTCAACATCAATTGACAAGTAAAAGACGGGGAAAGTTTGCAGCGAGCAGATCTCATATCTTACCGCTTCTTCCAACGATGACTGCAGTTGATTGGGAGACAAGATTCGTCCACACCAGGGGCTGCATGCAGATCCTCCTAACCGCCTACTGCTAAAACAAAACAAAATTCAAGATGTCAAATGAATTTTAAGACTTCATAGCTACTGAACAATCGCCCAAGAAATCCACACAAGATAGATTTCCTCACATGAATCTTACCTTTCTTCTCTGCTTGTCAGCAGTTAATTCCCCGCCCTGCTCCCCACCCTCCTCCTGACAAACAAGGAAGTTGTTCCTAACATTGGGATCCAGGCATCCTCCTATTAACACAGAGAGTCGGGATGTAAAAGAAATACCCTAAATGTTTTGATCAACTTAGAATAAAAACAACAGGGAATCAAAATTGCAACAAATGCAGTATGTTCTTACCACTCTGGCCAATGTTGGTTTCTATTCATAGCTAGGCAATGTAGTCCTCTTCTTCTTTTGGCCGGCCAAAGTCCTCTTCTGTCGTCGTCCCTCATCTGAACCCCTGAAAATATACAACTGACAAAAGATTAGTAAAAAATCAAAACAATTACAGAAATTAAATAGAAATTCACCAAACAATGGCAAAAATTCACAACATTATAAGCAAAAATTACAAAATTACTTGAAAAATCAGTTAGCAAAAGGGGACTGTTACTTTGGGAAAGGGCAGAAGAGAGTTGAGAGTAGAGGAGGGGAAGGGAGATGGTTAGTCATGTTAGAGTAAGGAGGGGACAGAAAGAGAGAGAGAGAGGGGGATAAATCAAAAAGCTTCTCTATCAGGCTCTCTGGCTGATGAACTGGGTCCTCTTCTGCTCCTTGGGATGGGTCCTTCTCTTCTGCATCCTGTCAGTGGAAGTCAAGAGGTCAAGGCCAAACAAGGTCAACATCAATTGACAAGTAAAAGACGGGGAAAGTTTGCAGCGAGCAGATCTCATATCTTACCGCTTCTTCCAACGATGACTGCAGTTGATTGGGAGACAAGATTCGTCCACACCAGGGGCTGCATGCAGATCCTCCTAACCGCCTACTGCTAAAACAAAACAAAATTCAAGATGTCAAATGAATTTTAAGACTTCATAGCTACTGAACAATCGCCCAAGAAATCCACACAAGATAGATTTCCTCACATGAATCTTACCTTTCTTCTCTGCTTGTCAGCAGTTAATTCCCCGCCCTGCTCCCCACCCTCCTCCTGACAAACAAGGAAGTTGTTCCTAACATTGGGATCCAGGCATCCTCCTATTAACACAGAGAGTCGGGATGTAAAAGAAATACCCTAAATGTTTTGATCAACTTAGAATAAAAACAACAGGGAATCAAAATTGCAACAAATGCAGTATGTTCTTACCACTCTGGCCAATGTTGGTTTCTATTCATAGCTAGGCAATGTAGTCCTCTTCTGTCGTCGTCCCTCATCTGAACCCCTGAAAATATACAACTGACAAAAGATTAGTAAAAAATCAAAACAATTACAGAAATTAAATAGAAATTCACCAAACAATGGCAAAAATTCACAACATTATAAGCAAAAATTACAAAATTACTTGAAAAATCAGTTAGCAAAAGGGGACTGTTACTTTGGGAAAGGGCAGAAGAGAGTTGAGAGTAGAGGAGGGGAAGGGAGATGGTTAGTCATGTTAGAGTAAGGAGGGGACAGAAAGAGAGAGAGAGAGGGGGATAAATCAAAAAGCTTCTCTATCAGGCTCTCTGGCTGATGAACTGGGTCCTCTTCTGCTCCTTGGGATGGGTCCTTCTCTTCTGCATCCTGTCAGTGGAAGTCAAGAGGTCAAGGCCAAACAAGGTCAACATCAATTGACAAGAAACAGACGGGGAAAGTTTGCAGCGAGCAGATCTCATATCTTACCGCTTCTTCCAACGATGACTGCAGTTGATTGGGAGGCAAGATTCGTCCACACCAGGGGCTGCATGCAGATCCTCCTAACCGCCTACTGCTAAAACAAAACAAAATTCAAGATGTCAAATGAATTTTAAGACTTCATAGCTACTGAACAATCGCCCAAGAAATCCACACAAGATAGATTTCCTCACATGAATCTTACCTTTCTTCTCTGCTTGTCAGCAGTTAATTCCCCGCCCTGCTCCCCACCCTCCTCCTGACAAACAAGGAAGTTGTTCCTAACATTGGGATCCAGGCATCCTCCTATTAACACAGAGAGTCGGGATGTAAAAGAAATACCCTAAATGTTTTGATCAACTTAGAATAAAAACAACAGGGAATCAAAATTGCAACAAATGCAGTATGTTCTTACCACTCTGGCCAATGTTGGTTTCTATTCATAGCTAGGCAATGTAGTCCTCTTCTTCTTTTGGCCGGCCAAAGTCCTCTTCTGTCGTCGTCCCTCATCTGAACCCCTGAAAATATACAACTGACAAAAGATTAGTAAAAAATCAAAACAATTACAGAAATTAAATAGAAATTCACCAAACAATGGCAAAAATTCACAACATTATAAGCAAAAATTACAAAATTACTTGAAAAATCAGTTAGCAAAAGGGGACTGTTACTTTGGGAAAGGGCAGAAGAGAGTTGAGAGTAGAGGAGGGGAAGGGAGATGGTTAGTCATGTTAGAGTAAGGAGGGGACAGAAAGAGAGAGAGAGAGGGGGATAAATCAAAAAGCTTCTCTATCAGGCTCTCTGGCTGATGAACTGGGTCCTCTTCTGCTCCTTGGGATGGGTCCTTCTCTTCTGCATCCTGTCAGTGGAAGTCAAGAGGTCAAGGCCAAACAAGGTCAACATCAATTGACAAGTAAAAGACGGGGAAAGTTTGCAGCGAGCAGATCTCATATCTTACCGCTTCTTCCAACGATGACTGCAGTTGATTGGGAGGCAAGATTCGTCCACACCAGGGGCTGCATGCAGATCCTCCTAACCGCCTACTGCTAAAACAAAACAAAATTCAAGATGTCAAATGAATTTTAAGACTTCATAGCTACTGAACAATCGCCCAAGAAATCCACACAAGATAGATTTCCTCACATGAATCTTACCTTTCTTCTCTGCTTGTCAGCAGTTAATTCCCCGCCCTGCTCCCCACCCTCCTCCTGACAAACAAGGAAGTTGTTCCTAACATTGGGATCCAGGCATCCTCCTATTAACACAGAGAGTCGGGATGTAAAAGAAATACCCTAAATGTTTTGATCAACTTAGAATAAAAACAACAGGGAATCAAAATTGCAACAAATGCAGTATGTTCTTACCACTCTGGCCAATGTTGGTTTCTATTCATAGCTAGGCAATGTAGTCCTCTTCTTCTTTTGGCCGGCCAAAGTCCTCTTCTGTCGTCGTCCCTCATCTGAACCCCTGAAAATATACAACTGACAAAAGATTAGTAAAAAATCAAAACAATTACAGAAATTAAATAGAAATTCACCAAACAATGGCAAAAATTCACAACATTATAAGCAAAAATTACAAAATTACTTGAAAAATCAGTTAGCAAAAGGGGACTGTTACTTTGGGAAAGGGCAGAAGAGAGTTGAGAGTAGAGGAGGGGAAGGGAGATGGTTAGTCATGTTAGAGTAAGGAGGGGACAGAAAGAGAGAGAGAGAGGGGGATAAATCAAAAAGCTTCTCTATCAGGCTCTCTGGCTGATGAACTGGGTCCTCTTCTGCTCCTTGGGATGGGTCCTTCTCTTCTGCATCCTGTCAGTGGAAGTCAAGAGGTCAAGGCCAAACAAGGTCAACATCAATTGACAAGAAACAGACGGGGAAAGTTTGCAGCGAGCAGATCTCATATCTTACCGCTTCTTCCAACGATGACTGCAGTTGATTGGGAGACAAGATTCGTCCACACCAGGGGCTGCATGCAGATCCTCCTAACCGCCTACTGCTAAAACAAAACAAAATTCAAGATGTCAAATGAATTTTAAGACTTCATAGCTACTGAACAATCGCCCAAGAAATCCACACAAGATAGATTTCCTCACATGAATCTTACCTTTCTTCTCTGCTTGTCAGCAGTTAATTCCCCGCCCTGCTCCCCACCCTCCTCCTGACAAACAAGGAAGTTGTTCCTAACATTGGGATCCAGGCATCCTCCTATTAACACAGAGAGTCGGGATGTAAAAGAAATACCCTAAATGTTTTGATCAACTTAGAATAAAAACAACAGGGAATCAAAATTGCAACAAATGCAGTATGTTCTTACCACTCTGGCCAATGTTGGTTTCTATTCATAGCTAGGCAATGTAGTCCTCTTCTTCTTTTGGCCGGCCAAAGTCCTCTTCTGTCGTCGTCCCTCATCTGAACCCCTGAAAATATACAACTGACAAAAGATTAGTAAAAAATCAAAACAATTACAGAAATTAAATAGAAATTCACCAAACAATGGCAAAAATTCACAACATTATAAGCAAAAATTACAAAATTACTTGAAAAATCAGTTAGCAAAAGGGGACTGTTACTTTGGGAAAGGGCAGAAGAGAGTTGAGAGTAGAGGAGGGGAAGGGAGATGGTTAGTCATGTTAGAGTAAGGAGGGGACAGAAAGAGAGAGAGAGAGGGGGATAAATCAAAAAGCTTCTCTATCAGGCTCTCTGGCTGATGAACTGGGTCCTCTTCTGCTCCTTGGGATGGGTCCTTCTCTTCTGCATCCTGTCAGTGGAAGTCAAGAGGTCAAGGCCAAACAAGGTCAACATCAATTGACAAGAAACAGACGGGGAAAGTTTGCAGCGAGCAGATCTCATATCTTACCGCTTCTTCCAACGATGACTGCAGTTGATTGGGAGGCAAGATTCGTCCACACCAGGGGCTGCATGCAGATCCTCCTAACCGCCTACTGCTAAAACAAAACAAAATTCAAGATGTCAAATGAATTTTAAGACTTCATAGCTACTGAACAATCGCCCAAGAAATCCACACAAGATAGATTTCCTCACATGAATCTTACCTTTCTTCTCTGCTTGTCAGCAGTTAATTCCCCGCCCTGCTCCCCACCCTCCTCCTGACAAACAAGGAAGTTGTTCCTAACATTGGGATCCAGGCATCCTCCTATTAACACAGAGAGTCGGGATGTAAAAGAAATACCCTAAATGTTTTGATCAACTTAGAATAAAAACAACAGGGAATCAAAATTGCAACAAATGCAGTATGTTCTTACCACTCTGGCCAATGTTGGTTTCTATTCATAGCTAGGCAATGTAGTCCTCTTCTTCTTTTGGCCGGCCAAAGTCCTCTTCTGTCGTCGTCCCTCATCTGAACCCCTGAAAATATACAACTGACAAAAGATTAGTAAAAAATCAAAACAATTACAGAAATTAAATAGAAATTCACCAAACAATGGCAAAAATTCACAACATTATAAGCAAAAATTACAAAATTACTTGAAAAATCAGTTAGCAAAAGGGGACTGTTACTTTGGGAAAGGGCAGAAGAGAGTTGAGAGTAGAGGAGGGGAAGGGAGATGGTTAGTCATGTTAGAGTAAGGAGGGGACAGAAAGAGAGAGAGAGAGGGGGATAAATCAAAAAGCTTCTCTATCAGGCTCTCTGGCTGATGAACTGGGTCCTCTTCTGCTCCTTGGGATGGGTCCTTCTCTTCTGCATCCTGTCAGTGGAAGTCAAGAGGTCAAGGCCAAACAAGGTCAACATCAATTGACAAGAAACAGACGGGGAAAGTTTGCAGCGAGCAGATCTCATATCTTACCGCTTCTTCCAACGATGACTGCAGTTGATTGGGAGGCAAGATTCGTCCACACCAGGGGCTGCATGCAGATCCTCCTAACCGCCTACTGCTAAAACAAAACAAAATTCAAGATGTCAAATGAATTTTAAGACTTCATAGCTACTGAACAATCGCCCAAGAAATCCACACAAGATAGATTTCCTCACATGAATCTTACCTTTCTTCTCTGCTTGTCAGCAGTTAATTCCCCGCCCTGCTCCCCACCCTCCTCCTGACAAACAAGGAAGTTGTTCCTAACATTGGGATCCAGGCATCCTCCTATTAACACAGAGAGTCGGGATGTAAAAGAAATACCCTAAATGTTTTGATCAACTTAGAATAAAAACAACAGGGAATCAAAATTGCAACAAATGCAGTATGTTCTTACCACTCTGGCCAATGTTGGTTTCTATTCATAGCTAGGCAATGTAGTCCTCTTCTTCTTTTGGCCGGCCAAAGTCCTCTTCTGTCGTCGTCCCTCATCTGAACCCCTGAAAATATACAACTGACAAAAGATTAGTAAAAAATCAAAACAATTACAGAAATTAAATAGAAATTCACCAAACAATGGCAAAAATTCACAACATTATAAGCAAAAATTACAAAATTACTTGAAAAATCAGTTAGCAAAAGGGGACTGTTACTTTGGGAAAGGGCAGAAGAGAGTTGAGAGTAGAGGAGGGGAAGGGAGATGGTTAGTCATGTTAGAGTAAGGAGGGGACAGAAAGAGAGAGAGAGAGGGGGATAAATCAAAAAGCTTCTCTATCAGGCTCTCTGGCTGATGAACTGGGTCCTCTTCTGCTCCTTGGGATGGGTCCTTCTCTTCTGCATCCTGTCAGTGGAAGTCAAGAGGTCAAGGCCAAACAAGGTCAACATCAATTGACAAGTAAAAGACGGGGAAAGTTTGCAGCGAGCAGATCTCATATCTTACCGCTTCTTCCAACGATGACTGCAGTTGATTGGGAGGCAAGATTCGTCCACACCAGGGGCTGCATGCAGATCCTCCTAACCGCCTACTGCTAAAACAAAACAAAATTCAAGATGTCAAATGAATTTTAAGACTTCATAGCTACTGAACAATCGCCCAAGAAATCCACACAAGATAGATTTCCTCACATGAATCTTACCTTTCTTCTCTGCTTGTCAGCAGTTAATTCCCCGCCCTGCTCCCCACCCTCCTCCTGACAAACAAGGAAGTTGTTCCTAACATTGGGATCCAGGCATCCTCCTATTAACACAGAGAGTCGGGATGTAAAAGAAATACCCTAAATGTTTTGATCAACTTAGAATAAAAACAACAGGGAATCAAAATTGCAACAAATGCAGTATGTTCTTACCACTCTGGCCAATGTTGGTTTCTATTCATAGCTAGGCAATGTAGTCCTCTTCTGTCGTCGTCCCTCATCTGAACCCCTGAAAATATACAACTGACAAAAGATTAGTAAAAAATCAAAACAATTACAGAAATTAAATAGAAATTCACCAAACAATGGCAAAAATTCACAACATTATAAGCAAAAATTACAAAATTACTTGAAAAATCAGTTAGCAAAAGGGGACTGTTACTTTGGGAAAGGGCAGAAGAGAGTTGAGAGTAGAGGAGGGGAAGGGAGATGGTTAGTCATGTTAGAGTAAGGAGGGGACAGAAAGAGAGAGAGAGAGGGGGATAAATCAAAAAGCTTCTCTATCAGGCTCTCTGGCTGATGAACTGGGTCCTCTTCTGCTCCTTGGGATGGGTCCTTCTCTTCTGCATCCTGTCAGTGGAAGTCAAGAGGTCAAGGCCAAACAAGGTCAACATCAATTGACAAGTAAAAGACGGGGAAAGTTTGCAGCGAGCAGATCTCATATCTTACCGCTTCTTCCAACGATGACTGCAGTTGATTGGGAGGCAAGATTCGTCCACACCAGGGGCTGCATGCAGATCCTCCTAACCGCCTACTGCTAAAACAAAACAAAATTCAAGATGTCAAATGAATTTTAAGACTTCATAGCTACTGAACAATCGCCCAAGAAATCCACACAAGATAGATTTCCTCACATGAATCTTACCTTTCTTCTCTGCTTGTCAGCAGTTAATTCCCCGCCCTGCTCCCCACCCTCCTCCTGACAAACAAGGAAGTTGTTCCTAACATTGGGATCCAGGCATCCTCCTATTAACACAGAGAGTCGGGATGTAAAAGAAATACCCTAAATGTTTTGATCAACTTAGAATAAAAACAACAGGGAATCAAAATTGCAACAAATGCAGTATGTTCTTACCACTCTGGCCAATGTTGGTTTCTATTCATAGCTAGGCAATGTAGTCCTCTTCTTCTTTTGGCCGGCCAAAGTCCTCTTCTGTCGTCGTCCCTCATCTGAACCCCTGAAAATATACAACTGACAAAAGATTAGTAAAAAATCAAAACAATTACAGAAATTAAATAGAAATTCACCAAACAATGGCAAAAATTCACAACATTATAAGCAAAAATTACAAAATTACTTGAAAAATCAGTTAGCAAAAGGGGACTGTTACTTTGGGAAAGGGCAGAAGAGAGTTGAGAGTAGAGGAGGGGAAGGGAGATGGTTAGTCATGTTAGAGTAAGGAGGGGACAGAAAGAGAGAGAGAGAGGGGGATAAATCAAAAAGCTTCTCTATCAGGCTCTCTGGCTGATGAACTGGGTCCTCTTCTGCTCCTTGGGATGGGTCCTTCTCTTCTGCATCCTGTCAGTGGAAGTCAAGAGGTCAAGGCCAAACAAGGTCAACATCAATTGACAAGAAACAGACGGGGAAAGTTTGCAGCGAGCAGATCTCATATCTTACCGCTTCTTCCAACGATGACTGCAGTTGATTGGGAGGCAAGATTCGTCCACACCAGGGGCTGCATGCAGATCCTCCTAACCGCCTACTGCTAAAACAAAACAAAACTCAAGATGTCAAATGAATTTTAAGACTTCATAGCTACTGAACAATCGCCCAAGAAATCCACACAAGATAGATTTCCTCACATGAATCTTACCTTTCTTCTCTGCTTGTCAGCAGTTAATTCCCCGCCCTGCTCCCCACCCTCCTCCTGACAAACAAGGAAGTTGTTCCTAACATTGGGATCCAGGCATCCTCCTATTAACACAGAGAGTCGGGATGTAAAAGAAATACCCTAAATGTTTTGATCAACTTAGAATAAAAACAACAGGGAATCAAAATTGCAACAAATGCAGTATGTTCTTACCACTCTGGCCAATGTTGGTTTCTATTCATAGCTAGGCAATGTAGTCCTCTTCTTCTTTTGGCCGGCCAAAGTCCTCTTCTGTCGTCGTCCCTCATCTGAACCCCTGAAAATATACAACTGACAAAAGATTAGTAAAAAATCAAAACAATTACAGAAATTAAATAGAAATTCACCAAACAATGGCAAAAATTCACAACATTATAAGCAAAAATTACAAAATTACTTGAAAAATCAGTTAGCAAAAGGGGACTGTTACTTTGGGAAAGGGCAGAAGAGAGTTGAGAGTAGAGGAGGGGAAGGGAGATGGTTAGTCATGTTAGAGTAAGGAGGGGACAGAAAGAGAGAGAGAGAGGGGGATAAATCAAAAAGCTTCTCTATCAGGCTCTCTGGCTGATGAACTGGGTCCTCTTCTGCTCCTTGGGATGGGTCCTTCTCTTCTGCATCCTGTCAGTGGAAGTCAAGAGGTCAAGGCCAAACAAGGTCAACATCAATTGACAAGTAAAAGACGGGGAAAGTTTGCAGCGAGCAGATCTCATATCTTACCGCTTCTTCCAACGATGACTGCAGTTGATTGGGAGGCAAGATTCGTCCACACCAGGGGCTGCATGCAGATCCTCCTAACCGCCTACTGCTAAAACAAAACAAAATTCAAGATGTCAAATGAATTTTAAGACTTCATAGCTACTGAACAATCGCCCAAGAAATCCACACAAGATAGATTTCCTCACATGAATCTTACCTTTCTTCTCTGCTTGTCAGCAGTTAATTCCCCGCCCTGCTCCCCACCCTCCTCCTGACAAACAAGGAAGTTGTTCCTAACATTGGGATCCAGGCATCCTCCTATTAACACAGAGAGTCGGGATGTAAAAGAAATACCCTAAATGTTTTGATCAACTTAGAATAAAAACAACAGGGAATCAAAATTGCAACAAATGCAGTATGTTCTTACCACTCTGGCCAATGTTGGTTTCTATTCATAGCTAGGCAATGTAGTCCTCTTCTTCTTTTGGCCGGCCAAAGTCCTCTTCTGTCGTCGTCCCTCATCTGAACCCCTGAAAATATACAACTGACAAAAGATTAGTAAAAAATCAAAACAATTACAGAAATTAAATAGAAATTCACCAAACAATGGCAAAAATTCACAACATTATAAGCAAAAATTACAAAATTACTTGAAAAATCAGTTAGCAAAAGGGGACTGTTACTTTGGGAAAGGGCAGAAGAGAGTTGAGAGTAGAGGAGGGGAAGGGAGATGGTTAGTCATGTTAGAGTAAGGAGGGGACAGAAAGAGAGAGAGAGAGGGGGATAAATCAAAAAGCTTCTCTATCAGGCTCTCTGGCTGATGAACTGGGTCCTCTTCTGCTCCTTGGGATGGGTCCTTCTCTTCTGCATCCTGTCAGTGGAAGTCAAGAGGTCAAGGCCAAACAAGGTCAACATCAATTGACAAGAAACAGACGGGGAAAGTTTGCAGCGAGCAGATCTCATATCTTACCGCTTCTTCCAACGATGACTGCAGTTGATTGGGAGGCAAGATTCGTCCACACCAGGGGCTGCATGCAGATCCTCCTAACCGCCTACTGCTAAAACAAAACAAAACTCAAGATGTCAAATGAATTTTAAGACTTCATAGCTACTGAACAATCGCCCAAGAAATCCACACAAGATAGATTTCCTCACATGAATCTTACCTTTCTTCTCTGCTTGTCAGCAGTTAATTCCCCGCCCTGCTCCCCACCCTCCTCCTGACAAACAAGGAAGTTGTTCCTAACATTGGGATCCAGGCATCCTCCTATTAACACAGAGAGTCGGGATGTAAAAGAAATACCCTAAATGTTTTGATCAACTTAGAATAAAAACAACAGGGAATCAAAATTGCAACAAATGCAGTATGTTCTTACCACTCTGGCCAATGTTGGTTTCTATTCATAGCTAGGCAATGTAGTCCTCTTCTTCTTTTGGCCGGCCAAAGTCCTCTTCTGTCGTCGTCCCTCATCTGAACCCCTGAAAATATACAACTGACAAAAGATTAGTAAAAAATCAAAACAATTACAGAAATTAAATAGAAATTCACCAAACAATGGCAAAAATTCACAACATTATAAGCAAAAATTACAAAATTACTTGAAAAATCAGTTAGCAAAAGGGGACTGTTACTTTGGGAAAGGGCAGAAGAGAGTTGAGAGTAGAGGAGGGGAAGGGAGATGGTTAGTCATGTTAGAGTAAGGAGGGGACAGAAAGAGAGAGAGAGAAGGGGATAAATCAAAAAGCTTCTCTATCAGGCTCTCTGGCTGATGAACTGGGTCCTCTTCTGCTCCTTGGGATGGGTCCTTCTCTTCTGCATCCTGTCAGTGGAAGTCAAGAGGTCAAGGCCAAACAAGGTCAACATCAATTGACAAGTAAAAGACGGGGAAAGTTTGCAGCGAGCAGATCTCATATCTTACCGCTTCTTCCAACGATGACTGCAGTTGATTGGGAGGCAAGATTCGTCCACACCAGGGGCTGCATGCAGATCCTCCTAACCGCCTACTGCTAAAACAAAACAAAATTCAAGATGTCAAATGAATTTTAAGACTTCATAGCTACTGAACAATCGCCCAAGAAATCCACACAAGATAGATTTCCTCACATGAATCTTACCTTTCTTCTCTGCTTGTCAGCAGTTAATTCCCCGCCCTGCTCCCCACCCTCCTCCTGACAAACAAGGAAGTTGTTCCTAACATTGGGATCCAGGCATCCTCCTATTAACACAGAGAGTCGGGATGTAAAAGAAATACCCTAAATGTTTTGATCAACTTAGAATAAAAACAACAGGGAATCAAAATTGCAACAAATGCAGTATGTTCTTACCACTCTGGCCAATGTTGGTTTCTATTCATAGCTAGGCAATGTAGTCCTCTTCTTCTTTTGGCCGGCCAAAGTCCTCTTCTGTCGTCGTCCCTCATCTGAACCCCTGAAAATATACAACTGACAAAAGATTAGTAAAAAATCAAAACAATTACAGAAATTAAATAGAAATTCACCAAACAATGGCAAAAATTCACAACATTATAAGCAAAAATTACAAAATTACTTGAAAAATCAGTTAGCAAAAGGGGACTGTTACTTTGGGAAAGGGCAGAAGAGAGTTGAGAGTAGAGGAGGGGAAGGGAGATGGTTAGTCATGTTAGAGTAAGGAGGGGACAGAAAGAGAGAGAGAGAGGGGGATAAATCAAAAAGCTTCTCTATCAGGCTCTCTGGCTGATGAACTGGGTCCTCTTCTGCTCCTTGGGATGGGTCCTTCTCTTCTGCATCCTGTCAGTGGAAGTCAAGAGGTCAAGGCCAAACAAGGTCAACATCAATTGACAAGAAACAGACGGGGAAAGTTTGCAGCGAGCAGATCTCATATCTTACCGCTTCTTCCAACGATGACTGCAGTTGATTGGGAGGCAAGATTCGTCCACACCAGGGGCTGCATGCAGATCCTCCTAACCGCCTACTGCTAAAACAAAACAAAATTCAAGATGTCAAATGAATTTTAAGACTTCATAGCTACTGAACAATCGCCCAAGAAATCCACACAAGATAGATTTCCTCACATGAATCTTACCTTTCTTCTCTGCTTGTCAGCAGTTAATTCCCCGCCCTGCTCCCCACCCTCCTCCTGACAAACAAGGAAGTTGTTCCTAACATTGGGATCCAGGCATCCTCCTATTAACACAGAGAGTCGGGATGTAAAAGAAATACCCTAAATGTTTTGATCAACTTAGAATAAAAACAACAGGGAATCAAAATTGCAACAAATGCAGTATGTTCTTACCACTCTGGCCAATGTTGGTTTCTATTCATAGCTAGGCAATGTAGTCCTCTTCTTCTTTTGGCCGGCCAAAGTCCTCTTCTGTCGTCGTCCCTCATCTGAACCCCTGAAAATATACAACTGACAAAAGATTAGTAAAAAATCAAAACAATTACAGAAATTAAATAGAAATTCACCAAACAATGGCAAAAATTCACAACATTATAAGCAAAAATTACAAAATTACTTGAAAAATCAGTTAGCAAAAGGGGACTGTTACTTTGGGAAAGGGCAGAAGAGAGTTGAGAGTAGAGGAGGGGAAGGGAGATGGTTAGTCATGTTAGAGTAAGGAGGGGACAGAAAGAGAGAGAGAGAGGGGGATAAATCAAAAAGCTTCTCTATCAGGCTCTCTGGCTGATGAACTGGGTCCTCTTCTGCTCCTTGGGATGGGTCCTTCTCTTCTGCATCCTGTCAGTGGAAGTCAAGAGGTCAAGGCCAAACAAGGTCAACATCAATTGACAAGAAACAGACGGGGAAAGTTTGCAGCGAGCAGATCTCATATCTTACCGCTTCTTCCAACGATGACTGCAGTTGATTGGGAGGCAAGATTCGTCCACACCAGGGGCTGCATGCAGATCCTCCTAACCGCCTACTGCTAAAACAAAACAAAATTCAAGATGTCAAATGAATTTTAAGACTTCATAGCTACTGAACAATCGCCCAAGAAATCCACACAAGATAGATTTCCTCACATGAATCTTACCTTTCTTCTCTGCTTGTCAGCAGTTAATTCCCCGCCCTGCTCCCCACCCTCCTCCTGACAAACAAGGAAGTTGTTCCTAACATTGGGATCCAGGCATCCTCCTATTAACACAGAGAGTCGGGATGTAAAAGAAATACCCTAAATGTTTTGATCAACTTAGAATAAAAACAACAGGGAATCAAAATTGCAACAAATGCAGTATGTTCTTACCACTCTGGCCAATGTTGGTTTCTATTCATAGCTAGGCAATGTAGTCCTCTTCTTCTTTTGGCCGGCCAAAGTCCTCTTCTGTCGTCGTCCCTCATCTGAACCCCTGAAAATATACAACTGACAAAAGATTAGTAAAAAATCAAAACAATTACAGAAATTAAATAGAAATTCACCAAACAATGGCAAAAATTCACAACATTATAAGCAAAAATTACAAAATTACTTGAAAAATCAGTTAGCAAAAGGGGACTGTTACTTTGGGAAAGGGCAGAAGAGAGTTGAGAGTAGAGGAGGGGAAGGGAGATGGTTAGTCATGTTAGAGTAAGGAGGGGACAGAAAGAGAGAGAGAGAGGGGGATAAATCAAAAAGCTTCTCTATCAGGCTCTCTGGCTGATGAACTGGGTCCTCTTCTGCTCCTTGGGATGGGTCCTTCTCTTCTGCATCCTGTCAGTGGAAGTCAAGAGGTCAAGGCCAAACAAGGTCAACATCAATTGACAAGTAAAAGACGGGGAAAGTTTGCAGCGAGCAGATCTCATATCTTACCGCTTCTTCCAACGATGACTGCAGTTGATTGGGAGGCAAGATTCGTCCACACCAGGGGCTGCATGCAGATCCTCCTAACCGCCTACTGCTAAAACAAAACAAAATTCAAGATGTCAAATGAATTTTAAGACTTCATAGCTACTGAACAATCGCCCAAGAAATCCACACAAGATAGATTTCCTCACATGAATCTTACCTTTCTTCTCTGCTTGTCAGCAGTTAATTCCCCGCCCTGCTCCCCACCCTCCTCCTGACAAACAAGGAAGTTGTTCCTAACATTGGGATCCAGGCATCCTCCTATTAACACAGAGAGTCGGGATGTAAAAGAAATACCCTAAATGTTTTGATCAACTTAGAATAAAAACAACAGGGAATCAAAATTGCAACAAATGCAGTATGTTCTTACCACTCTGGCCAATGTTGGTTTCTATTCATAGCTAGGCAATGTAGTCCTCTTCTTCTTTTGGCCGGCCAAAGTCCTCTTCTGTCGTCGTCCCTCATCTGAACCCCTGAAAATATACAACTGACAAAAGATTAGTAAAAAATCAAAACAATTACAGAAATTAAATAGAAATTCACCAAACAATGGCAAAAATTCACAACATTATAAGCAAAAATTACAAAATTACTTGAAAAATCAGTTAGCAAAAGGGGACTGTTACTTTGGGAAAGGGCAGAAGAGAGTTGAGAGTAGAGGAGGGGAAGGGAGATGGTTAGTCATGTTAGAGTAAGGAGGGGACAGAAAGAGAGAGAGAGAGAGGGGGATAAATCAAAAAGCTTCTCTATCAGGCTCTCTGGCTGATGAACTGGGTCCTCTTCTGCTCCTTGGGATGGGTCCTTCTCTTCTGCATCCTGTCAGTGGAAGTCAAGAGGTCAAGGCCAAACAAGGTCAACATCAATTGACAAGTAAAAGACGGGGAAAGTTTGCAGCGAGCAGATCTCATATCTTACCGCTTCTTCCAACGATGACTGCAGTTGATTGGGAGGCAAGATTCGTCCACACCAGGGGCTGCATGCAGATCCTCCTAACCGCCTACTGCTAAAACAAAACAAAATTCAAGATGTCAAATGAATTTTAAGACTTCATAGCTACTGAACAATCGCCCAAGAAATCCACACAAGATAGATTTCCTCACACGAATCTTACCTTTCTTCTCTGCTTGTCAGCAGTTAATTCCCCGCCCTGCTCCCCACCCTCCTCCTGACAAACAAGGAAGTTGTTCCTAACATTGGGATCCAGGCATCCTCCTATTAACACAGAGAGTCGGGATGTAAAAGAAATACCCTAAATGTTTTGATCAACTTAGAATAAAAACAACAGGGAATCAAAATTGCAACAAATGCAGTATGTTCTTACCACTCTGGCCAATGTTGGTTTCTATTCATAGCTAGGCAATGTAGTCCTCTTCTTCTTTTGGCCGGCCAAAGTCCTCTTCTGTCGTCGTCCCTCATCTGAACCCCTGAAAATATACAACTGACAAAAGATTAGTAAAAAATCAAAACAATTACAGAAATTAAATAGAAATTCACCAAACAATGGCAAAAATTCACAACATTATAAGCAAAAATTACAAAATTACTTGAAAAATCAGTTAGCAAAAGGGGACTGTTACTTTGGGAAAGGGCAGAAGAGAGTTGAGAGTAGAGGAGGGGAAGGGAGATGGTAAGTCATGTTAGAGTAAGGAGGGGACAGAAAGAGAGAGAGAGAGGGGGATAAATCAAAAAGCTTCTCTATCAGGCTCTCTGGCTGATGAACTGGGTCCTCTTCTGCTCCTTGGGATGGGTCCTTCTCTTCTGCATCCTGTCAGTGGAAGTCAAGAGGTCAAGGCCAAACAAGGTCAACATCAATTGACAAGTAAAAGACGGGGAAAGTTTGCAGCGAGCAGATCTCATATCTTACCGCTTCTTCCAACGATGACTGCAGTTGATTGGGAGACAAGATTCGTCCACACCAGGGGCTGCATGCAGATCCTCCTAACCGCCTACTGCTAAAACAAAACAAAATTCAAGATGTCAAATGAATTTTAAGACTTCATAGCTACTGAACAATCGCCCAAGAAATCCACACAAGATAGATTTCCTCACATGAATCTTACCTTTCTTCTCTGCTTGTCAGCAGTTAATTCCCCGCCCTGCTCCCCACCCTCCTCCTGACAAACAAGGAAGTTGTTCCTAACATTGGGATCCAGGCATCCTCCTATTAACACAGAGAGTCGGGATGTAAAAGAAATACCCTAAATGTTTTGATCAACTTAGAATAAAAACAACAGGGAATCAAAATTGCAACAAATGCAGTATGTTCTTACCACTCTGGCCAATGTTGGTTTCTATTCATAGCTAGGCAATGTAGTCCTCTTCTTCTTTTGGCCGGCCAAAGTCCTCTTCTGTCGTCGTCCCTCATCTGAACCCCTGAAAATATACAACTGACAAAAGATTAGTAAAAAATCAAAACAATTACAGAAATTAAATAGAAATTCACCAAACAATGGCAAAAATTCACAACATTATAAGCAAAAATTACAAAATTACTTGAAAAATCAGTTAGCAAAAGGGGACTGTTACTTTGGGAAAGGGCAGAAGAGAGTTGAGAGTAGAGGAGGGGAAGGGAGATGGTTAGTCATGTTAGAGTAAGGAGGGGACAGAAAGAGAGAGAGAGAGGGGGATAAATCAAAAAGCTTCTCTATCAGGCTCTCTGGCTGATGAACTGGGTCCTCTTCTGCTCCTTGGGATGGGTCCTTCTCTTCTGCATCCTGTCAGTGGAAGTCAAGAGGTCAAGGCCAAACAAGGTCAACATCAATTGACAAGTAAAAGACGGGGAAAGTTTGCAGCGAGCAGATCTCATATCTTACCGCTTCTTCCAACGATGACTGCAGTTGATTGGGAGGCAAGATTCGTCCACACCAGGGGCTGCATGCAGATCCTCCTAACCGCCTACTGCTAAAACAAAACAAAATTCAAGATGTCAAATGAATTTTAAGACTTCATAGCTACTGAACAATCGCCCAAGAAATCCACACAAGATAGATTTCCTCACATGAATCTTACCTTTCTTCTCTGTTTGTCAGCAGTTAATTCCCCGCCCTGCTCCCCACCCTCCTCCTGACAAACAAGGAAGTTGTTCCTAACATTGGGATCCAGGCATCCTCCTATTAACACAGAGAGTCGGGATGTAAAAGAAATACCCTAAATGTTTTGATCAACTTAGAATAAAAACAACAGGGAATCAAAATTGCAACAAATGCAGTATGTTCTTACCACTCTGGCCAATGTTGGTTTCTATTCATAGCTAGGCAATGTAGTCCTCTTCTTCTTTTGGCCGGCCAAAGTCCTCTTCTGTCGTCGTCCCTCATCTGAACCCCTGAAAATATACAACTGACAAAAGATTAGTAAAAAATCAAAACAATTACAGAAATTAAATAGAAATTCACCAAACAATGGCAAAAATTCACAACATTATAAGCAAAAATTACAAAATTACTTGAAAAATCAGTTAGCAAAAGGGGACTGTTACTTTGGGAAAGGGCAGAAGAGAGTTGAGAGTAGAGGAGGGGAAGGGAGATGGTTAGTCATGTTAGAGTAAGGAGGGGACAGAAAGAGAGAGAGAGAGGGGGATAAATCAAAAAGCTTCTCTATCAGGCTCTCTGGCTGATGAACTGGGTCCTCTTCTGCTCCTTGGGATGGGTCCTTCTCTTCTGCATCCTGTCAGTGGAAGTCAAGAGGTCAAGGCCAAACAAGGTCAACAGTTAATTCCCCGCCGTGCTCCCCACCCTCCTCCTGACAAACTAGGAAGTTGTTCCTAACATTGGGATCCAGGCATCATCCTATTAGCACAGAGAGTCAGGATGAAAGAAATAACCTATAGTTGTGTTTTGAAATAATATCACAGATTGTTTTAAAATTGATATTTTCTTTGTAAACACCATTCATCAAAACCCCTTTCATTGTTGATAAAGGATCACTTCTAGGTAAATATACCTATAGGGCCGATATTGGTTTCAGTCTTCAGAAATTCGTTCTGGTCGCTGACTTTAGTCCACATGCGTGTAGTTTCTTGTTTCTCATGTATCGCTTTAGTTGTAGTCAACTGTATGTTCATATAACCCTACCTCGGTATTTACAGATACATCCTTTGTATGAGGGTCCTTACTTGTTTCCTGGGTAATGGCAACGGGACATAAAACCTTAACTGACCTTATCACATTCTTTTCTAATCTGTAAACCCTTCCTTCTGTATTTTTGGCATAAAATGTCGCCAATGCACATAATTTTCCCGAGGAATGAACTGCATCTACTCTGCATAGCGCAGTATCTCTCCCACTGGCACAACAGTTTTATTACCCAGAGATGTTCTTGAAAGACAAACACAGCAATTTTCGCTCGGCATGATTTTTTTTCGTGACACCTGCAGTATCGAGTAACACAAAGTGAATGATTCGTGTCCTCGAACAAAGTGTGCTTCCACTGAGGTATAGTTCCGGTTGATTGCGTTTTAGTTTTAGAGATTTTATGATCTGCATTTCCATAAACGTCTTTTATATCAACATCAAACATACATTTAATGAAAAAAATAGAAGTAAAATGCAAAAGCTTGTATAAAAAAAATTAAATTCTTGTTTATACAGGTGAAAATTTGAAAAAATAAAAGTATGCCAAAGGGTGGATTCGAACCAGGACACTAAAAATGTTTATGGTGAGAGTCTGCGGTCTATCCTTCTGATCTATACTGACTATGAAGACATACGTCATAGGTATAAACCACTACGATAGAAATAGGTTTTCGCATTTTTTGTAGGTTTTTTACGAATTTCGACCCTAGGGCACGGGTGCCCCTAAATTTTTTTTGTTTTAAATTATTCCTTAGATCAAAATCTATCAAATTTCAGAATTTAATTTAGGGGCAGGCCTGCCCTGAAGGACTTCTATGCCAAAATTCACGCAAAAATTAGTGCTTTAACGGACAAAATACTGTTTTGATCAACTTTGGAGGTTAATTTCAAAGTTGCAAATAAAAAAATTTAGGTTCAAAATGCAAATATACGATAGAAAACAACTAAACAACATTGATTTTTAAATGAGACTTTTTTCCGGAAAATTGTTCTCTCCTATAGGTCAAATCTTTTGATATAACGAATACATCCTTTGGTAGCACCATTCAACAAAAACCCTAAACTTATATATTATAGTGTGTGTACCTGTATGTTGTCTACTAGTGGACTAAGATTAGTTGAAATCAGAATAGAATTGTGGTATAAGTAGCATTTAAAACTAGAAATATGTTCATAAAACATGAATGCCCCATCGTGGGTACGTAAGTTATTTAAAATGAAAAAAAAATGAAAATTTTTATTAGTGTATGAAGTTTGGTGAAAAGATACTAAATAGTTTCATTAAAATTGTAAATTTAACTCTAAAAAGAAAGAGGGCGTAGAAGGCAAAGACGATTCCCCGCTCTGAGACAATATTTTCTCAATTTTCAAAGTTCACGGAAAAATTATATTTTTCTAATAATATTTTCTGTACTGGCATCTAAAAAACATTTGATTCATCTGTTTTATGAATGATTTATTTGGTTGATAATTTGCTTTTAAAGTTGCCAGTTAGGCATATTTAGTGGAAAATAAGGTTATTTAAGCCATAAAAATTATGATTTTTTTTAAAAAATATGAATGGGTCAAGTTTTCATTCTACATTATCTTCTATACATGTATGACGGAAAAGTAAATGTAAAATCTATTTTATGTTTCCAAAAAATGGAGTCTGGACCAATTCTATATGAAAATCGAACATTTCTGAAAAAATTACGCTTTAACAAACTCGTTTATTTAAATCACACTGACACACAACATTGCCAACAAGACTTCGTGGCCCATTGGTTAACTTTTACTCTTACTCTTATCCATGAGCTTTGTAGAGAGTTGGAATCACGTGTAGAGCTTTTATACCTCTTCAAATATAACTTAAAAACATATATGAAAAATAAATTATTTATCAGTTAGCTATTCAATAAAATAGAGGAAGCAAATGTGTAAAAGATGATATTGACAATAACATTTTTGAAAAATGTTACTTTTTATGAAATTCAAGAATTGAGAAATGTCTTTTTTTCAAAGCGGGGGATTGTCCTCGTCTTGTACGCTTAATTCTAGGGTAAAAATGATAAATTCTTACCAAATTGTGACAATGTATAAGTGCATACGCTTATATAGTTTCTTTAAATTAAGCAAAATGCAAATTTTAGAATAATGAGGTCAATGTCACAGGAAAGTTCTAAATTTTTGAAGCAGTTGAATAGCTCTCACTGATACGTATCAGCATTATAAGTTTGATAAAAATATCTTGAATGGTTTATTTAAATCTAAGCTAAACACTAATTTAAGAAAACACTAATTTAAGAAAAGTAAGGCCGAGGTCAAAAAATTGTTAATGCTATTGAAAAGCTTACATCAGTATTAGCATATTTATGAAGTTTGATAAAAATATCATGAATGGTTTCTTTAAAACTGAGCTAAACCCAATTCAAGAAAAAA